CTGGTCGATTCTTTTAGACAGTTTGGCCAAAAACAATCCGCCGTCAGCTGCACGTTTTGAAGTACACATAACACTCGGATTTGAAGCAGAGGTTTCTACATTTTTTTTCTTCTAAATTACACTTTTTCTCTCACATAAAGCATACTGAGAGCTACCCAGGACGAAGGTGAACATTCGTGTAACAATCTATGCTAGAAATGTAATCCTTCGAATGGAATAAACCTCAAGGCCACCGTCGTATTAGTTCCTCAGCTATACTCTTGTTTATTCCTTTCTCTATTTTACACTACGTAGGATTACTATCGATTTTCTGTTCTTGGCTCTGGATTAGTACCATTAAGTACCCATTATCTTAGGCACCCTCTTATTTCATTTTATTGTGTGTATGGTATTTCTCAAGGTCATTATATGCTAAGAAATAGTATATAAGGATCAAGAGAAATACAGACTGGGAGCGATTTTTGATATTGAAATAAAATATACACTCAACACCAAAGACAACAACTTCCTTAACATCAGAAATCGTTACAATTCGGATCGTCTTAATACTGACAGAATTCGATCGAAAGTAACTGGAAATCCAGTGACCCGGATTCCGATATAAAATCCGGATCGGATTCCGGGTCACTGAACTTCTTGATCTCGGTATAAAAAAAAACTTTTAGCCAGAGGCTCGTAAATAAGATATGAGTTTTGAATTATATATATATAGACATCACTCGTTGGGCTTGAAAATACTTCATTAAAAGATACGATTGTGTTAAGCCTAATATCTGTACCAGGCACTTCACTCAAGCTTATAGTAATTATCACAGTTCGAATCTATTTTTTTGACGACTTTTAGTTAGAAAATCTTATGAAAAATGTTTCTTTTTTTCAAGACATTGCACGATATGCCTAATTTGACTTCGAGTATAACTGAAGATCGTAATAACTGCTTACAATTCGAAAATAAATGAAAAATATGTCTACAATGTTGAAACAACCCAAATAGCAAAATAAAAAGTTAACTGAGCAATGCAACTCTGATGAAAAGCAGACACAGAAATAGAACATGTTTTATAATTTATAAATGCATAAATGATAAAACTTGATTTATTTCTTTTTCTATCTTTCAACAGGGATATCAATTCAAATTTGTAAATATTTTGCATTAAGTTCTTTATGTGCTGTGTGTCGCGGCGGAAATGAGATTTTGCCAATGCTGGTAATTTTTCTTTCTCTTTCAAGCTATCAAAATAGGGAAGTGTTTTTTTTTAAATTTCTCATCTACATTCGAAGTTAAATGAGACAGCTATTCAAATGCGCAAACACAATTCAGAACTACAACAACGACAAACCTAATACAAAGTCATCGGCTGCACAGTATGCTGTAATATGCATGATATTGTCAACAGTAGAGACAGAATTCACAAAAAAACTGACATGACAAAAACCGTAGAGCGGAGAGACAAAGTGTATAATAAAATTGAGATAAAAAAGAACATAGAAGGAAGGAGTACACAAAGCACAGCGACAGACGAGCGATAAGAGAAAAATGGCAGCGCAACGAAACAAAGAGAACGTGTGGATCTTAAAATATGTCACCTTCTGTATATAGACGATATCTTCTTTATTGGCTATCGTTGAGACTTAATTCTTTTTTTCCAAATATTTCTTGTTCAATTCTCTACAAAATCAGATAAGATGCTCTACTTTAAAAATTTACACTGAAGAATCCACTCAAGATGATTGCTAAAGCGAAAGTATTGCACTTTCAAACAATGCTTTTGCTTAGCAGTAAGCTCATGTTGTTTTTATCTAACAGGTATCTAATTGGACAGCAACGAGTTTTTCAAGTATCGGTTCTATTTTTATGATCATTGTGACTTTCTGGAACAATACGTTAATGTAAAAAGTTAGATTTCTTGAGATATAAGCTCCGAGGTTCGAATATTTTTGTTTTTGCACACAGTCCAAGTCAACTAATTAAAACATACACTCCTAATTTACTTATTAAAACAAATCGAATAATCATTTTTCCTCAAACAGAGCGACAAATAGATAGTATTGAGTAATATTTTGATTCCAAAGCCTAAGCTCTAAGAGTCGCGCATATGTTCTGCAAGAGAGTCAATGAATCTTGAAGAAAGAAATCTGATTTTTCATATTAAGTACATTTATTTGAATAAAAAAAGAGAAAAAAAACCTTTGAAAGTGCACCTATTTTGTCCAACCAAATCGTCCCTACATGATTCTTCAGTATGGCACGTTAAAGCAAAGCGTATCACAAGGTTTTGACAAGAATTGGATCAGGAATCTTTTGGAAAAAAATCAAGCCTTAATAACAAAAGGACGAATGACTACAAACACAATATGACATTCTGTATAGCCCATCCGTTACATGTAGATGCAACTGGTCGAAAAAAATGAATCTACCGAAACAACAGAATATTCTGTCTCTTCATTCTAACGAGACCAACAAGGTTCTCTAACTGAATTATATTGAAATCATTCCAGAGCAGCACATCATAATAAATAATAAACTTTTGTATCTTTTTCCTGATCAAGTTTCACTTAAGGAATGTTCAGGAAATCAGAAAAAAATTACTAGGGATCTCTGAGAAATCGAGGACAATAATTATAATGATCACCAAACGATGCAGTTGTTATCTTGTCTACTTTTGCTGCTCATAAATAAGAAATCAGTGAGTTTCTGTTGTGTTCTTTGTTTGCTTCTTAAGTACAAAAAATTCAATTTAATTGTTTTTTTTAATTAAACTTTATTACTTTCGTAATTGTGCTCGACAAAAAGGCTGAATATAAAATATTTGCATAAAACTCACATGTATTTACCGATTTTTCTATTCGCTGCTTCTTATATAAATAGAGACAAATATATTCGGTTCTTAAAATAATATTTATCGAAGTAGTTACTGTTGGAGAGAATGATCTATATAAGTTGAAATACATTTTATCTTTTTTTTTCTAAATACAATTTATCATTAGAATTGTTGTCAAAGCAAATATGACAGAGCATGCGATAGACAAGGTAAATGCCCAAACGTTTGCAATATTTCTTTTTCATTCATTCTGTTCCAATTTGAACCCTTCAACGTCGGTCAGATCAAGAAAATTCGAATCGAATATCCTATCGGCTTCAAGTGGTGACACCATTTTTTGATTTCATGAAACTTCCTTGATTCAGTTACTGCAGTAGAGTGATCGTTGTGCTCAATAAATATCTAACACTAGTTAATGTAAAGTAATAAGCACGAGCATCAACCCTAAGATTCATGTCAACAATATAGTCTTCGTGAATCTTATGTTTTGAATCTGTCAATCATGTTTGTAAATATTGATTTTTACGTACTTCATGACGAGAGTCAGTGATTCGCTAAATATCATGCAGCAAAAAAAGTTCCTTATGCAATTTCTTAAATTCAAAAGAAAGTATATTTAATTGCTCATGCCATGCACAACACGGTTTTCATTTCGAACTAATTAGTATCCTTGTAAGAATAGAAAAATATAGAAATTTTATAGAAAAAAAAAAATATTCATATTTTGTTTAATAGATATTCGACGAATAGAGATGCATATTAGGTGAGTTTCACATTTTAATGCCAATGAGACTGCCCTGAAAAACGTTTTTCATCCACACCCACAATAATGAATCCAAGTGTTAAAACCCCTATTGAATATCCAGTTACAGTTAGGAATATAGCATAGTTTGAAAACATTACTTATCGTTCAAGTTTCTTTGGATATCCATCTAATTAAAAAATTGCGAATGTTATCATAAAATGAAACTTTTTATGATTGAAATTATTCCAGAAAATTAATATCGATGAAAAAAATGAAACTGAATATATTGTATACTATTTGAGTTTGCCTTAAAATTAAATCAAATAAAAATAAATTACATAATTTTCCACTAATTATTCTTGCAGTTGTCCTTTTGTGTTTGTAACAAATTGATGAACTTGCAAACAACTATTGGATCCTACTTTTCATTTAAGAACACACTGAACTTGATATATATTTGAAATTGTTATGCACTTTCAGGATAAATCCTAAAAAATAGCTACTCAAAGAGTTTTTTAATTTTCTCCGTACTTCCTGAAAACTAGAAATTTCGTAGAAAATCGCCCATGGATCCTTGACGAATTAGTATATTCTATAAGATCAGTGGTGATCGAACAATGAGAAAGAAAGTAGCTAAATAATTTTGCCCATTATGATCTCGAATCTTCTTGTTTAGAATGATAAATTATTTACATAGGCAGTAATTTCAAATCTCAAATGTCATGTATTTTAATTATTTAATATTTATTCGCATTGATTCTAAGGTAATTTATTTTGTAGCATAAATACATTTTTGCAAATTTACCAAGAACGATTTTAATAGTACCTCTCTTTTTGCCATTACTTTTAATTAACTTCAATTCATAGATTTCATTAAATATTAGTTTTTACTATTTCTATTTAATCAAATGAAACCTACTACATTTACTAGGCAAAATTATTACTAGTAATTCGATGAGTTAATTTCTTCTTTCGAATTCAACAGTTTATGTTATTCACTTTATTACATGAACTGAAATATCAAATAATTTGCATGCAACAGATATGTACTCTTAATAATTTTATTAATTGTATGAAAGTTCTATTTCGATTCTAGAACGGTTTTTAATATCTTAGACTGATTTATAATATTCACTCGACGTAGAAAATTTATTAAGATCAATCCATTTTATTTTTCAAAGATCAAATAATTTCTACTTCTCCACAACGAAGCTCAATTTGTATGTTCATCTTAACTTGAAAGCGGTCAAAGAAGTCGTTACGAATAGTTTCAGATAAGATTAAGTACTATGAAAAAGAGTACAACAATCCTACATTATTTCATGTGAAATTATATTAAAATGCAAAAGCAACAATTCTAAAATTGAATCATCTACATAGTGTAATTATTCCCTGTGTTTTCAGCAAAATATCTACATTTTTCTATTATGATGTCAAACTGTATAATTACTATTGTTATGTGCTCGTATTTGTCCAGGTATAATAAACCATGATGGATAGTAATATTCATCTCGCTCACAGCCAGATGGATATGCTTTATCATGAATGACTTCACCACTAGCAAGATAACCTGTCCACCAACCAAAGGTTCCACCAGTTACGATTGAATGTTGACAAAGTGATAATGCTATTAAATCATCACCGTTGGAAAACGATACTGGTGTAACAAAAATATTTGGTCGATGACGGAATAGATTTCTACAATAACGTTTATCATCACTAGCAACGATAAAATGAGCATTCGAATAACGTTTTTTGTAATATTCAATGGATGAAAGTAAATATTCATCGGACGAAGAATAATTTGTAAGAAGAAAGTCTGCACGTCGCACATGAATTCCAATCCATGTTATCCATTTCGATTGAGCTAATTGGTTTTTAAATAATTGATGATTGTCCAATGAAAAATGAGGCTTGAATTTAAACTTTCGTCGATAGATGTTAATGAAGAACTTTGAGACGCGCTCAATTACCAATCGTCTCGCAACAAAAAGACGATTTTGCAGCTCATCGCGATATGTATGAAAATGTAAGTACGATTGCCAATAACCTTGTAATTCAAATAGACGTCCTGAGGAAATGGCGTTTGGACGCATCAATTCTGGAATATATTGGCAAGTGATACTTCTACTTTCTTTAGTCATTTGTTTTGGAAGATTGTGCATGATTGAGTTAAATGTTGTAGTCGAAATAAGAAAATGAGAAAGATCAAAAATAAATATTAACTTCATCTCATCGGTTATTGCTGGTGTAAAATACAAATGACAAGAATGAAGACGAGCAAGACCGTAGGCACTAGCGACCATAAACATATGATTACCTAGTCGGCCACCACTATTCACAACGTATACAATACAGGTTATATTGATTTGCTGTGAAATTGATTGTGTTAAAACAGATTGATTTTTTGAATGAATTGGAAATGGATATCTGACAGGATTGAATTTTTGAATACGTGTAGTTACAACAATTGATATAACAATAACGAATAAAATTCCCACACTATAGTATATTTTTGAGGAAAACGCCGCCTTTTTAAGCAACACCATTTTGTTTTCAATACTTGTCGTTTAACGACGAGATTTATTGAAAATAGTCTAATTATGAAAACTGATTTGACTTATTTTCGTTCAATCCGAGAGAATTTTCGTTAAAGTTGTAGCACTTTATTGAATAATTATGACATCGATTTGTAACGCAAAAAAAACGAAGGTATGGATGGTCGATTTCTTAACAACCATGGTGTATCTTTTATTATGATACACATCGAAACATAGAAGAAGTTGAGTTCGAACCCTATTTGACAGAATTTCTCACTGATTTACTTTATCATTTCACCGGTATCTTATTTTAATAGAATACTTGCGTATATTAAAAAAAGGGCGAGCGCGTAAGTAGAAAGAGAGAAGTAAGCAAAGAACAATCAGTCAACTACGAACATTCATAAATTGTGACAGTCTAACCTTATGGTAGTTCAATGTTTTTAAATATTTGAATCAATAGAAGATGAAGATAGAACATAAGGATTTATCATCAACACACCATTTTTTGCCTCTAATTGTTGTATTTTAAAATATTCAAAAATTTTTGTTCATCCACAAACGAAAAATCCAATTTTTAAAAGTATAGCGTTTTTTTCCTTCTTCTGTACATGATTTTCTAGAATATAACCTTATGATTACGACTTTGACGATTATTTTTGGCACACTAAACAGAATCAATATTAAAATCACTCTTTGCTCATCTATGTGGCACATCCACAGGTTTTGTTTTTGCGTATTCATATTATTTTAAAAGCATTTCTGTAAACTTAAGTAGAATTAAACAATTAAATATCTTAAACCTCATAGTTTCGGCGTAGATGGTAGAAAGAAAACAGTCTTGCCATGATTTCTTCAACAAATATAGGCCATCAAATTGTTTAGTAAAGTTCATGAAACAACCTACTCAAATTCAACACTTTTCCTAATGTAAAAACGAAATTCAGATCTTGTTTGCGAACGGATAGAAGTATTATAGCCATTTTTTCAAATTTATGACACATCTCTCGAAACAATCTGAATTTATTATAGAATAAAAGTATTACGCTGACAGCACCTGATCGAGTATAAACGAACTAATCAGACTGTGGAGTGCAAATTCTATTTCGTCTGAAAAAGCTGAATTCGGACGAATACGAGAATCTCAGATTAATTCCGAGTTCTATGATTAATACTCTCGCTAAATTCTAGTTTAGCGTAAATCTATTTATATACATAAATAAAATCTGATAGATAATCTATTCATAATATTCTAGTAAGGAAACGAATATATTATTCTAGTTAATTACATATAATTTATGGAAACTGATGTCAGGCAAAAAGTAGTTAGTATAGTCATAGATGGATTCTTCGAGATCGTTAGCTGTTGGTGATTGATTCAGGATCTTTTCATAAGTACAGAGAGGCGTAAAGTATAGTATTATGTGAGTATGTGTTGAATGGTGTAGCTAGTCACTTGTGGCTTGGATTACTATTTATCAATGTGCTTTATAAAATAACAGATCGGTATAATTATTTACATTTCGTTCTTAGCACTTTTTCTCAATCTTAATCGTTTGTTATGATAAAAAAAGGACTGAATATTTCAATGATAAGAATTTAAAGAAAAATATATTTTAAATAATAAATAATATTCGATGATAGTAATGTTTTGTTAGTACTTGAACCGAGTAAACTTCATTTGTACGTTATGATATATTCACCATATGCACCAGCATCATGATAGACCACAAAAATATGTTTACCATCGCTAGTTGTATCAAAGCCTTGAGGTGGCACTTTCATTGATGGATTACCTATACTTGCTTTACCAATTAAAACTAGAGCTAAGAACATAGTTCGTTCGTTTAAAATCTCTGATCTAGTATAATTGTGGCTATATTTTGCATGCTCATGAAAATATACTCCTTGGCCATATAAATTTCCTGGAAAAACATAAGCAGAATTATCTTATTTATTAAAGAAAGAAAAGCTTATTTTACCATGAACACCTGCAAATGCTCTATTAAAACACTCTTGTACAATTTTATCAGCTGATGTGCTACTACAGCCATGGAACAGTCGTCGTTCCTCAGATTTACCATAACGTTGTGTAAAGTCATCTCGATGAGCAGCATACTAGAACGTTAGTTGAGATTAGTGAATTTATTTTAACTAAGTAAAAGACATAACAATACCTGTTTATACCAACGTACATTTTGAATACGTTCGATTTTCACAATTTTTATATAGATACCTTTCATGGTACTGTCAAATTGGTTCAATGCATCTTTATATTCTTTAGATGAATCCGAAAGAACTATTCGTTGTAGATTACTACTACTGGACAAATCCCAATACTAATGATAAATCGATATCGTAAATTTCATAAGTGATTAACACAAACGATTTTCTTACATTGGGTAATGATGAATCGACACGTCTACGACGTACTTTTCGTTTTCGCTTTTGATATTCTTCTTCCATGCATGAGAAAATGAGTCGGCATTGTTCAGATTTTTCGTTTAAAAATTCAACCTTACGAATAGTAAATATATATATGTATACATGAATAAAAAAAGACGACGAGTTGCATACATATGAACGCTTATTCAATTGAGCATCTTCAATTAGTCCATTAATGTTGTATGAATATGGTTCCCATTTACCAGGTGATGTCTCAACTGACCAAATAAACCCGCTTGATAATAAACTCAATCGTGCATTTCTCAATGTTTCAGCAGTTAATTGAAAAAAATATTTTTCAGCATCCAATACCTATGTTAGCGAAGAAAAAAAGAATATGAAACACAAGAGATAACTATTGTTCGTGAAATATGGTGTGAATAATTATCGGATATTTTATCTTAATGAACTATTAAATTAATATTTCTAAGTAATATACGTTAACTAATCTTATGACAGTTGACATAACTCATTAGATATTTTATAGTATGTTGCTTCGTCGTATTTCTATTTTTGCAAGACGTGATGATCAAACGAATAAAATACTCAAAATAGAATTTCTGTCAAGGCAACTAGTTCTTCAACTAACGCTAAAATCAATTTCCTTTGATAAAATATACAATAAATCATATTGGATATTCATAGGATACAAAGTGACTTACAGCATCTTTGGAACCTTTTAAATCCAAAATAGAATTTTCAATATCGAGTGTCGGTATAACCCGTCTCTGCAAACAGTAGTCATAGTACTTTTGAATGACATCTTGAGGCCAATCAGACATGTCATTTTTATCAGTTAGATGAGCATTAACTGAAGACGATTGAGCCAATTGTTTTATTTTATTTTGATACTCAATTAATTGATTGTTGTTTGTACCGGTCAATTTAATTCTCACAACTATAAATCAAAACCGAACAATAGATTTTAGTCAATTCACATTTGTTTAATGTACTTTGCTTATCGAAAGAAATACTGGTTGGTTTGTTTTCAACAGTTTGTAATTGATTCAAACGATCTGAAAATGCATCATAGACATTTCGTTGTTCGGGTAGTAAAACGAATGAAACAACAAATTGAGAATGAACTAAAATGTTTAACTGTCGATAAGTTTCAGCAATCATGTATTCAGCAATAAGTTTTGGATCGTGACCCAATTGTCCACAACCAATGCTTGGAAAAGCTAAAACGAACTTTCAAAACTTTTATTTTCAGCATAGTATAGACTAACCGATTGTTGTCAAATTATGTTCACGTGCACATGCAATCACTGATGTAATAAATGTACCAATAGATTGTTTCAAATTTTGCGGTTGATTCTTATCACAAGTCCATGGACGGAAAACAATTTTTTTACAAGGCAAATAGCCACCGTCTGTTTCAAATGCTAGTAAACCACACCATGATTGTTGATCATAGATTGCTTTTACTTGATAACCAGCGGCAGATATAATTCCATTACATAGAATTGTTGATGTTGAACAAACAACAATTATGTCGACCTATAGTCAAATTATCGAAACAGTGAGTATTACTTGTTTTTAAACTTTCTAATATTCAATCAACTCTTATTAAATAAAAGCTATATGTACATTGCACGATAAATCAATATCTGAATCATATTGTCGCTACTACGCTGGAAATAAAATTGAAGATTCTTTTATTAAATTTACTATGGGACACATATCATTCTTTCAAGAAATCATGCAGAAATACAATAAGTAAATAATTCATGCACAGTCAAGGAACAATATCTTAACCAATATGCTGGTGAAGAAGACGGGTACAAAAGTAAACATCTAAAACTCAACAATATTTTTACATCATGTTTTACAGAATTGAGTGTATGCCATTGACGTTTGAGTGTCACTAGTATCAAACTTTGCATCTTTTAATCATTAGTAGGGGATCAATATTTGTCTTTGTATATGTCAAATAATATCTGAAACACCATGAATGTGTAACTCTTGCTCGTAAAAATGAATTAGAAAAATGTTATCGTATTTTCGTTGAAATTTTGCATTATAGGAAAAAAGTGACGATATCAAACAACATTTTGATGTGTAAATCATATTCATTTTTTTAATTCGTTATCTAACTATTCAAGCCTCTGAGATTAAAGAAAAAAACTTACCGCTTGTTTTGTTAAATCTCCCGTGCAAACGATGATCTTTGAATTACCAATCGCTACACTGCATATATTACTCGTATTTGGTAATGACTGAACTGGTGATGGAGAATTTGGTGGTTGTGTCGTTGGTTTGCTCGACTGAAACAATTTTAGAAACCAATTTGTTTGAGAGCTCTGAGTATCTTGACTTGGATTATCCATAGGTTCAGATGTATTCTCTTGTGATAGGCCACATGATGCACCATCATCAAAATAGTGTTTCTTGGCTTTTGGTATTTGAATCTGAATTCGATGAGATATAATTTGTTTCACTAGCTTACATTTTGAATCAACGATAGCTAATAATCGATGGAAATCTTGATTGACTAGAATTTCAAAACCAGGTTCATCTATATCAAAGTCTATCGAGTAATTTTGAACTGTTTGAGCTTTTATTTGAGTACATCCTGGATAAAGATTAGATTCACTTGATTTTGAATAATTTTCAATTTTTGGAATGCGTGCTTTTGGAGTAGCTACTATTTCTGGTCTGCTCGCCTCATTTTTGACAGCAGATTGAATAGTGTCCATTTTTTTGCTTTCAATTAATTGTTGAACAGTTTTCACCTCATCAGGCAAACCAAATAGACTGATAGTTTGTTTTTCATGAGAAAGACAAATATCTTTACCATAATCATCACGTGCGAAAATCTTTGTTTTAAGTGTCGACCATTCTTTTTCTAATTCATTAGATGTACATGTAGCGAAAACTAATTTTTTGCGACACAATACATCTAAAATTTGTTCATCAACACCAAACCCAACATGTTCTTTATCGATATAGTGCACCAGTATCGATACTGGAAGTAGTTGTTGTTGACAAATGCCTTTTATTTTGCTTATATTCAATTGATGTTGAATAACACGAACAGCATCGATCATCTTTATCCAACCACTATCTAAAATGGAAAAGTTATTTCATAAAATACAATCAGCAATATCTGACCGATCGTTTCTTTGAATGTTTTTGTACGACATAGTGAAATTATAGTTAGCAATTCTTGTTTTGCCGAATTAATATAGTTCAGTTCTCCGATAATTTTAATTAAACATTTACTATTGGCTATAGGCATGTGTTCTATATTAAGCTTAACCCTGTAGTTTTTACGGAAATAAGTTTCAAGGCAGCATTTGAATGTCTTATCAGTAAATAAAGATGCTTGTGCTGGAGTATTGAATGTTAATGTTATACTCTTCACAATGATCTCATTTTTTACGGAAGTGCTGCAAGAAACAGAGATAAACATTGCATAAGACAAAAAAAGCAATGTACACACTTTTCATCAGTAGTTGTTGAATTGAGCCATGGTAGTGGAATCAAAATTGCTGGTGATTCTCTAGAAAAACATGTAAATATTTTGCAACAATTTGAGAGAAACTCACTTTTGATTGGTATCATCTGATTTTTCATGATTAATGGATGCTGCTGCAGATCGGCCATTTGTTGGAGTTTTCATAATTGATTTTATTGGAAATAGTTTCCCCATAACAGACTCAGAATCTGATTGCTTCGTAATCAGCATATATTTATTGTCTTTGACCTGATAGAATGCAGCCATAGTTGAATTTTCACGAAGAATATTGAGTTGTTCGTCTACTCGCTCCAAGCTAATTCGGCGAAAAGCGAATTCATTCATAAAATTTTGAGTACTCTTCCTGAGAAGAGAAACAGCATTTTCTTTGGCTACCACATCTGTCATGGATTTACGATTAATATCGATGCGTTTGCCTTTAACTTTAATCTCTATTCCAAGTTCAGATCCTACAACCAAAAATAAGTAATGCAGACAAAATCATAGTGAGAGAAGTGAGATTCTATAGTGAGGCTTGTTAAAATTTCAATCAGCTTTCTTCCAACACGAGTTGATAATAATAACTTGAATGCGCAAAAAGTTCAAATCATTATAACTTCACGAAATATAAATTCTTGAAAAAATAGAAATGCATTGGAATGAAATAAACTTTTAGATCTACTATATTCTTTATGTGTTGCTATCCGTTTTCAGCGATAAGCCTCAAATTACAAGGCAACATAGTATTAAAATAAAATGAAAAATCCTTGAATATTTTAGTAATATATGAAAATAATCCTTCAAGTATTCTTTCAGTGATGAAGAAATTTCGAACAAAACATTGCGTGCAAACTACATAGTATACGTGGCGAAAACTGTTGATGCAATCTGCATAGATACTAGTTTAAATTCACTTTTAAATTAAAAATGACTGATTCGGATATACAAGAGTAGACATAATCAGATCGAATTCACATAAATAGCTATTAGATATGTTGATTTCATTTCGTCTTATGTCAAAATCGAAAATGTTATCTAGAGTTAAAATAATGATCACGTTAAATGTATATTTGACATTTACAATTCGATAAACTTATACCGAGATTAATGATTCTAACCGGCGACAAAAAACAAGTGGATTTCTTTAGAATTTTTCGAAACGATACGATAAAATCATTGCATACAGCACAATAGTTCTTCAATCGATAAACTTTTGAAATCCATGGAAATGATTTCTGTCCTATTTGAGACAGAAAACGCAAAAAAAAGTAGCGAAAAACTAATGAACAGATCCAACAGTCAAACATTTGTTCATGCTCGATTCTGAATATGAACAAGTAAAACTGGCCATTAGGTAGAATCAGTTTATTCATGTTTAAAACTCATTGCTTTCTCTAGAATGGAAACAAGCGTTTTCTAGATATTTTTCAAAAAGTTGTGTTCGCTGTCTGATAGTTTATTTTCCGAAGTAGATCTGTATGCATTCATTAGATTGAGTAGAATTTTATTGATTAACTTACGTATGTAATTTTTGTATTGAATGCTGAACTGTGGATGATTAGCAACAGCTGCCTTGGGTCGACCAAGAAAGATCACCATTTGTGAAAGTACGCTGTTTTGATCTGGTCTTTGCGGTACTTCACGACTTACAGTACAGGCCATAGCGTTACTATTATGCATCAAATTATCACCATTGACATATTTAACGTTGGGTGCGATTTTAACACCGAATTTTTGTTGTGTTGCATCTTTAGCTGATAACCACTTTTTGAGACTATCAGCATGGATAAATTCTATCAGTGCTGTTCGATTCGATAGAAGTGTAAATATAAAGACATCATCAAGAACTGGCTGGATCATGGTTTTAATAATTTCAATCGACAGTGGATTGCTAGTAGATTCAATACATACCGTTTCTATCTCATATATTTGTTTCAGCGAAATATTGTTTCCTTGTAATTGCCGTCTACCTTTTTGTTGACTGTAGAGTTGACTAAAGTCTAGAAAACATACAGTGCTATTCAAATCGATTACCAAAATACTTGATGAGAACTCATACCAAAGGTATTATTACATTCGATTAGTAGAATCTGTTCCGACGATGATGAAAGATCAGTTATTTGGTATGAATAATTTTTAATTAAGATATTAACATAAATTGAAAACTTTTCTATTGTTATTGCACCTCGTTTCAAATCGATTTTCGATTGCAGTATGAAACTTTTTTGATCGAACACAGTATTGGTTCTTTTAAATTTCAATAAAATATCTTTATATAGAATACGTGATATTGACAGTAAATTATCGACGGCTTTAAAGAAAAAATTAGAGAAAAAAACCAACACTTATGTAATTACCTTTGTCGTCCTGAAATTGAAGTGTACATTGGTGAAAATATTGATTTTCTTGAAAATTCAACGTTTTCTGGACAGGAAAGCCTTGTAGTCTTAACAATCCAACAATATCTTCCATCAAAATCTGACGGGCACCACAAATCGATGGAAAACTTATATCAATTTGATGATTTGCCTCCAACAGTGAAGATACAGGTGCTGACGCACTGTTACTATCTGCATCAACAGCGTTCGTGTTGTTACCTTCTCCATGTGTTCGTCTTCGACGAGTACGCCTACTTGGCTTAAATACTTGTTGAGCAGATTTCGGTTGTACCGATGATGATGATGATGGTGGTCTTATATCTGGTGCTTTTGAAATAACAGAAGAAGCAGCTCTAGCCTACAACAAAAAGTTCATTTTTAAACAATATAATACAGAAAATATTACTTGAGATGATCTATGCGAAAATTCTTCATGATGTCGAATAAGACGAATGAGTAATAATGGATTAACTGTTTGACAATGCGATTGTTCAACAATACGCCGATTGTTTCCAGAATTAAAATGATGTGGAAAGTTACAGCCTTTTACGTTACAATGGCCAAAACGAGGACATATGTGCAGTTGACTGCATTCTCCCATTTTGGGAGCACATTTACCGGTAAGAAAAGTTTTACATACACCAATCTAAGATACATGATAAATTACAACAGCAAGAAAAACTGGTCCAATAGGCTTACTGTAGGCTCTACTCGAATAAGAAATAGACCCTCTTGACTAGATTCAAAATGAAAGAGCGATGAGCCTAATAATTGTACAGCACGGCGTATTTCTACAACTGAAAAAGTCTTGCCATGTCCTTTGATAGCGATGTTCAATTCATGATCACTGAGTTCAATTACATTCAATTGAAGAAATATTGAAATGATTTCATTCAAGCAATTGACCGCTGCCATTCAAGTAAAATCTATAAAATGAAATGTGTTGCGACAAAAACAAACGAAAAAGAACTTTAAAGCGACCATGTGACTGCATAGTAAATATGTATCTACCTTTAGTATAACAGAGAACAGACATAAAACTTAAAGTACAGTTTTTATTTGGATACTTTTTAATTGGTTTTATTGTAGGTTCTAGATGCACAATTAAATATAGCAAAAATACCAACGAGTAATAGCAAAAAATTATTGAAAAATAAAATAAGAACTGTGAAGATATAGTATCACATTCTCCAATGAGAATAGAATAAATGAATTTCTATAATTTCTATAGATGTAGACATTGGCGGGCCAGCGTCTGGTATGGAGGTGTGGCAATATATAGTAATGCCTAGTTTTTTTTCAAGAAAGAGATATTTTAAAAGTGACGTATGTATCTATACAGATAGATATATGCGACTAATAATATTTTCAGGTGTAGCAATTGCTGTGTGGTGGTTCACCGATGTTTATATACACTATTAATATTGTTTTCACGTATGGCAATATTTTTCTCAGGTGTGGCAATTGCCATCAATTGCCTCGTGGTGGCCCGGCGATGGATGTAGATATAGAGAGTCAATCGTGAAACCAGAACACGAAAGAGAACAACCACGAGTAATAAACGCAACTAATGATTATGTTTTTTGAGTGAAAATACCTTCGAGTTATTTATTTAACCTTTGGAAGTAACAAATAAAATTGATTAATATTGTTTGTTCTACTCAACGAGTCTTTCTGTCAATAGTGATATGAAGTATTATTGCATCGTAAATCTCATGCTGAATATGCTAATTTTCCTTATGTTCATCATTTACATCATCAAACAGCAAACATCGATTAATTGTTTACTAACCTATTTTAATGAAATTTTTACTAACAAATTATAGAATAAAATTTACCGATTCTTTCTTTGTATGAATAAATCATTTCATTGGCTACCGAAAGAAAACTCTAGTTTTTCGATGTACCAAGATATTGTGTTTTTTGTGTACTCAAAAAATGAGTACACTAGATTCGGTCAGTGTGTCCGGCCGTCAGACCGTTAGCACGATAACTCTTGAAAGTCTCATCCAATTGTCTTGAAATCTTGTACACAGAATGATCTCATCAATGTCTCAGTCGAGTTCGAAGATGAGAAGGATCTGTCAAGGAGTGGCTGAGTTATCGAAAAAATTGTCATTATTGACCAGACTATCCCTGAATGGGGAGCGCGGGGGGGGGTAACGCCTTGATGTGGATCAGAGACGCTACTAATAATAATGCCAGGTGCCACAGTATTGGTTATGGCAGAATGACAACAACGAAAATTAAATAGTATATTGAATATTGGATGAAGATCCAATTGTTTATTCAATGAACAGAAATAGTTGAGAATAATAATACGAACTCCACAAGCAATTAGCTGACACGAGTTCGAACGATTGTAAGGAACAATCGAGTTAGATTGAGTGTAAAGAGCAATCGAGTTGAAAAGAAAAAGGTAGTATGTAATTGATCAAAAAGACGATCGTCTTTTTGATAGAGAAGAAAAGTAGTAGTCAGAGAAGAAAAAGAAGAATTAGTATATCTCAGTGAAGAGAGATATATCAAGAAGCTTCTAAGAAACTTGAGGAGAAAAAGAGAGAGTAATTATATCTCATTTCTCTGAGTCTAAGCGCGAAAAACGAAATAAAGGTGCCAATGTTGAAAATAGCAAGCGCGACAATAAGCAATAAGAGAGAACAACACAGAGGAGAAACAACATACATGATACAACAAACATCAAGATAAGATCAGTGACGTTGCTGTCGTCACAGCGGGGTACAGGGATTTTTTCAAAAAAAGAATTTTCTCAGAACTATTCAAAACATATATAAATCGACTCAGTTTTTGCAGTACACGTAACAATCGGATGCGAATCCGATGTTTCCTCATTAATTTTTTTAATATGTAAAGAATATCATTTTTGAATAGTCATCACGATGAGAGCTGTGTTTTGTAGAAAAACTTTTTGATAATTATTGCGTGTTCTATTTCTAAGAGCGAACAGCTAGCTTGAAGTCGAAAGTACTTCGAATTGCACCACTTGAAGTAATTCAAAATTATTTCAAATGCAAAAGTTTGCTGTTTTCCCTTGTGTATTTTATCCGAAAAATCGACAGAAATGTTGTATTATAATTAATAATTAAAATATATGCTCTTTAAAAAAAAGTCTTTTTTGCACATTTATAGCTTAATTTTGAAGGTTTTGATTAGTTATGGCTTATAAAAAGCAGCATTGTGATTCATAGCTACTCATTAGTTTGTTTTCGTTCAGTGGAGTCTGCTGTAGAAAAAATTGTAAAATTACCTATTAATCTCCATACATTCCGAATATCGCTCTCAGTTTTATTCATTTATTATTATTATTATTGTTGTTGTTGTTGTTACCTGGCGTGCACTTCGCTTCTTTTTCTCTCTTCACAATTTAATCACCATCGACTTTCAATCTAAACGACTTCGTATACAATCAAATGAAGACACTGCTTTACCATTATTATTATTATGATCAATGAAGTTGCCATGTAATAATCATTAACTCAATGGATCACTATCGAACGAGAGGGAAAAGTCTATTAATGTCGTTTTATTCTTGACCGAAAATAAAATATTTTCATAGTAACTCTATACAACCAGCGATGCTATTTCTTGATCGACTACTTGTTTCAATATAAAACTAATGTTTTACAGTTTTCTCTACTGTTAATAGTGTTATAATGTTCACAAGCAAAACAAATATGTATGCTATTCAAAGTGGAATTAAGAATTACTGCCTACTGACTCGATCTAGTTAGTGTGCATTGACTACACAAGTACCTTGATACTTCAGTTCAGTGAAAAATTGTAACAAACGTTTAAAAAAAAGAGATATATTTGAACACACTTGATATCTCAATGTTACAACAAACGTAGATGCCATTGCCCTCAATGACTTTGTATATCTTCTGTTAATGATCAACTATTCTGTGAGAATATTTAGCATTATGAAAATATTTTTCTTTTTCAATCAAATGATACTACTATCTATATTAAATTTTATTGGTTCTAATTGTTGAATCAACTTTTATACCTACTTGCATATGATTACATATTCATATGATACAACCGTAAAAAATACAGTATGCTAAGTTTGATTGCGTCTACATATTGAAGAAAGAGAAGACAATGACAAAATGGTAGGTAGCCATTCGTAACCATCTCTCGATAATATGTATATCTATCAAATAATTGTGATCGATTTTGGTTCGCTTTGTACGTGTCCGTGCATTATAGATACTGACAAAATCATTTGATAATCTCGATTATAATTCGAAGAAAATTGTAGTCTTTTTCTAGGTTCTTATATGATTGATCAATAAGTCTATATTTTCAATGATGATCGATAAGCTCGTATTACTTTTTTTTTCGTCTGATCATTTTAATACAAATATAGTAGATTAATCTGAGATTATGTAAACGAATATTAAGAATGATAAAACTAATCTGGCAGATTATTATTATTATTATTATAATAGAATGACAAGTATCAAAGCCAGCATCAAGGCAATAGAAAACGACAAATCTTAGATCGAATTAAACAGATGCTATTCAAGGCAATTATGAAACGGAATAAATAGAAAGTTCATGGTTAAAATTAATCGAATGATCAATCATATCACATAAGATTTTCTCCACACAAAAAAAGAAGCAGACAGAATCTGCTATGTCGATAATGTTTATATATGAAACATATGTTTAACAATGATATGTTTTTAGTCTTCAGGATAATATTACAAAAAAAGTGTTTATACTATATTTATCATTTTATTACTTATAGTTTATTGTCGAAATCATCCATGTCTATTACGATTTGTTCACATTTTCATTCAAAAATTGTAAACATATACGCGTATTCATTCAATAAGGTAGAATGTCCTCCAGGTAATCTATCTTAACATCTAACAGTATTGTATCTTTAAGTATAATAATCATTATTATCATTAGCCTTCAGGTTTTTTTCTCTATATATATCTTTCTTGGCCTATTATATAAATGTATCTTTTCTTTTCTTCTTCGATTGAATAGTAATGAATCGAACGATATCATATTAAATTGATCTTCGTTTTTCTTTCTTTTTGCTTTATTCTTATCGATCATTAATTATTAGTAGTTATTTCTTTTGATTGATGAATAGAATAAGAATTAATAAGACCTTTCTTGAAATAAGTGTCAAGAACAAAGTAAGTGACAACAGTTCTATGTCTTTTTTCTGACCATTGTTATTGCATAAGAAGTGTGTGAAACAGTCAAAAACTATAAAATAAACAATGACGCGTCTGATCCAATGATAAAGATGCTACGAACATTATCAAGCATCAATGATCATATCAAGATCTGCTAAACAAGCAGAATTATTCAATAAAATAGTATTCCTTTTTTTAAAGAAACTAATCATATGTGTATTGAATAGATGGGTCACCTACACAGCTTCTTCTTCTTTTTCTTTCAAGGACTGATGTCGTATATGCACCGTTAAGAAATTGTGCTAAAGGCGGAGTTCTGCTTCTTTCTTCTTTTCTTTTTTACTGAACATCTTGCGTCACATACAAACATATATTGTATGCCACCCTTTTCTTACTCCATCCGGTTCGCTCTTTAATTAACTTTGTTTGCATCGTGTACTACTATTCTTCTTTTTTGTATGTACATAACCGCAGGTTTGTAGTGTACATTAATACACATACATTGTGATGATCATAGTTGTTATAGTAAGTGTTCGTTCACGCGTGTGAGGATAGAAAAAAAAGTGGGAGTGATATCAGATGTACGCGTATATACAAGTATGAAGCAAGCCACTTCAGTTAAACAAACATTCAGACGTACAAGAAACAAAAAGTAAGAGTCACCTTGAGCTATTATGAAGAAGACAATTTATTGTGTACCGTCTGTCTCAAAGCCTATTATGATCGATAATGAATATGCATATTTAAGGAGAGGTTTTATCTACGGTAATTAAGTAGCATTGTTTGTTTTTTTTTCGCTTTAAAAAATGACTTGAGCAACTGTCGACAATCATTAGAAGTACGAGAGACTTCTTCATCAAACGATGGTACTGTGAATAGTTTGTCTATATCCGTTTGTTCAATTATTGAATGCATTATTAATGTGTATGCATATATATGTATTTGGACGTTCGGTAGTGATGACGAAATATGTTGTATTTGTTTATGCTACTTCTAACAATTTTTTTCCTCTTGTATTTGTACCTTTGTTCAGATTTAAAACAAACGAGAATTTCTATTCCATTAACATCGAATTTTGTCTCTCTTCCTCTCGAGTTAACTGTGTTGCTTAATCACAATCCACTCATGATTGTTGACCATCACTAGTAGCTTGCTGCGACTCAGCATTATACTAATGGATGGCCCTCTTACGTTTCTCCTTCCCAGTGGTCTTCGTTTTCTTTTTGTGTCTTATAGATGACAAACAACATCGTCGTATTCAAGATAAAAATGTTCAGCGTTTACTGATGTGACAGATGATCTTTTTCTCAGACATGCAATTAAACAAAACAAAAAACGGCAACACTATCTAATCCAGATCAGACAAACATTATAACACTAATCTGATTCAATGGTTACTTTACTCAATCTGCCACTCCTGTCATGATCATGGTTCGATAAGGGAAACAGAGAGAGAGAGAGAGAGAGAGAGAGAAGAAGAAGAAAAAAGAGAAAGAAAATACATAATCTGACCATCATTATTACTATTACTACAATAATATAAACAAGTGTGAAGAAGTCAGGTAAACCTTTTAACGGATAGATAAGCAACTAATAAAATTAGAAACCATTTCAACAGTATCATCGAATAGATTACTTTGTTCAAGGTTTGAAAGAAGCAGGAAAAAAAGACGCTTTCTATTAACTCTAATCTTATTATCATAACTGAAACATACTTTCATTCTGTCCCTTGCCGTGAGTACAAGTCTAATTATCGTGAGAGCTTTTTCTTTCTCGCGTTTAGTGATAGTAGCATTGATTATGTCATGCGATTGATTACATTGAACATGAATATATATATATATATATACATATATATGTCCACCCATCGTTGGTTCATATCAGTAAGGCAGCCATATGACGCATGCCAAGTATTGGATATCAATATGTACAAGATTATCAATACATATATAAAAATAATCACTTAAACATGTTCTCGTAATCATCAGGATGATTTATTTTTTGATATTAATTATTAATAATCTTTTCATGCCAGATTGAATTTATTTTTCTAAGACAGTATCGATGATCTAAGAGTTAAAACAGACTAATGCAAATTCTGATAAGATCACACTTGAACAATGGTATTCATTGTTCGTGTGCTTAAACCAAATCTTTTCTCTCTTTCTTTTTCAATCATCATTTGTTCAATCGATTAACACTCTTGGGAGATTGAATTCTATGTTTTGCCATAGCACGACTTATCCAGAATTATATATATATATGTATATATATGAGTATGAAATAATTCAACATATAACACGAGTAATGAAGCATTATGAATTATCTTTCTTTTTTGTTTTCATCTTTTGAATATAGATTTATAAATTAATATTTTACGTTCGTAGAATAAAAGAATAGCTTAGATCGATCATTTTTTTTTCTATTCGAACAAATAATAAATTCATACCGAATGACATGTGATATTGAGCGTGAAAGGTCATTTTTATCATCGATTATATAAATTTGTATAAGATTTATGAATAGTAAGATAGTATGCTAGAATGAAAACAAAAGTTTACGTTCTTTTTCATCGCATAGGCTTCCTAACGATGTTCATAGTATGCTGTTGCATTTATTGTCCATATAGATTAACCACAATCATGGAAATCGATTAGAAAAACAGACAACAAGAAAAACTACGATATCATATAACATCGTTTCGCAGTTTCTCTCGAGGTACGTTTACAAAGAAAAATTGTTGCTAGCGTTTCATGATCGGTCTTTCATTTTTAATGAAACTCAAAGTGAAAGAGTGCGACATATATGTATATATTACTGTTGGTCATAGTTTATCATCGTTAATGATCATACACTAACATTTATTTTCTTTTTTCAGATCGTTCCGTCGCTTATCTTTACGAATGACACAATAACAATGCGAGCAGGTTAGACGCGCATAGGCATGCTCTTTCCTCTCTTCTTTTTTTCATTTAGGTGTCAACCGGAAACAGGAAATTTGATAGAACACATCTGTCCTTCATACTAATTAGAATACTAATCGGGCAATTGATGAATGAGTACGTTAGATCTTACTGGCTAGAAAAAAGAAGAAAAAAAAACGAATAATTTTATCAATTCAGTCTATCGTCACGATTGTTAGTTTTACGTGTCACATGTCAAAGCATGAATTGTTCAAGATCATTGTGTTTAAAGTACTGAATAACAATGATCATTTGAGTCGAACTATGAAGGAATTTAATATCCAATCGTTTTTTTTAATCAATCTTAATTTTCTAGATAGATAATCCATGATTTCTCATATAATCTTCTTTGTATTTTTTATTTCTTCGACTTATTCAATTCATATTTTACATTCATTACCATCGATAAATATTGATCCAAATAATTATCCGAAATCTGATTTAATTCTTCATGATTTTCGTCATCAATTTCACTCAACCCATGCATATCGTTGTATTTTACAAAAAGAATCAAAATATTTCTATTTGAATCGTTCTTGTCAATTATTAACTCGAACATCATTAAAACAACTTTGTTCGTTTAATACAACACTACAATTAGAAATAATATTTCCGAAAAATACAACCGTGTATGAATTAATTATAAATTCAAATCAAACAAATTGTAATAAAAATCAACTGTGTCAATTTGAAAAAAATCCTTATCGTATTAAATTGAAAGAAAATGAAATCCATAAAAATTTTCTACAATTAAAAACATTTTCATCATGTTTATCATCAAATTATTTATTATCATCTACTAATGCAAAGAAAAATTTTGATTATTTCTCTTTAAATTCTTCAACAGGCTATTTATCTTTATTACATTCATTGGATTATGAAACAATTACAACATGGAAATTAGTTATACAAGGTCACGATATGCATCATATACCATTCTATACATATGTTATTATTGATGTTGACGATATGAATGATTGCTCACCATTGCTGTCATGGAATTTTCCATTACAAACAATTCAGATAATCAATGATACGGATTCATTTAACATTGAAATTGCTATTGATGAATCAAATGTTGAACAAAGCAATATAATTATTGCAAATATAATTGCATCTGATCTTGATTCACCATTAAAATTTGATTTAAAAATAAATTCATCGGATATTTTACCATTTACTATTGACGGTCCATATGGTGATTCAACATATGTTTTATTAACAAACAGTAAACTTGATCGAGAATATAAAGATAAATATATTGTCAATTTAATTATTAATGATAGTGGACAACCAATGTTAACATCGTTTTATCAATTAATTATTAACATATTAGATAATAATGATAATGCACCAAAATTTGATCAACATATTTATTATGTTGATATACAAGAAAATAATTTTATTAATACAACACTGTTGCAAATATTTGCAAATGATTCCGATTTAAATGATAATGGCCGTGTTACATATGAATTAAATAATGAAAATAATAAATATGTTTGGATAGATAGTCGAACAGGAATTGTTCGAGCGAAAATCCAATTTGATTATGAAGAAATGAAAAATTTTTCTTTTATTGTTACTGCTCTGGATCATCCTAGGAATGGGCAACAATTTAAAACAACAGCAACAGTATTTGTTAATATCATTGATCAAAATGATAATTTTCCGGAAGTAAATAACTGCTTTTTTTTCTATTCAAAATTCTAGCTTGAGATATTTTGACTATAATTGCATATGAGAAAAATATAACCGATAATTTTGATAGACCAATGAAATTCTTATTTTCTATCTATCGTTAATGTTATAAGAGTTGTTAGTATTTAGAGATGCTAGGTTTAGTTGTGCAAAAATTGACTAGAAACCTATTGAGCTTTGATATTTTAGTTTCATCAGAGTATCACATACTTCGAGTTATTTTCTCGTCTGGTTTTTATTCACTACGATGCATTTAACTAGAACTTCTAGTATATTAGTTTTACCAAATCAGAGCACATGCATATCTATTCAAGGAAAATATCATTGATGTACGTTCAAAATACTGAAATCAGCATCAATTCGAGAGGATTACTTAAAATTAAATAATAGTCGTTTGAGGAAAAATTAGGCCAGCTTTATATGCGGTTCTTGTTTTTTTTTGGACGGGGGGGGGGGGGGGGGGGTTTGTTTTAGTTCTAATAGTGACGCTAGTATATAAAAAATTGACTAAGTAAGGTCGTTTGTATTGAACTAATAAAAAAGTTGTTAATTTCTCGAGTTTGATCGAAATTCATTTTCCATAAATTACAATAATTAATTTTATTTCAAGTTTCCTAAACCAACGTATGAATTTTCAATTTATGAAAACAATGATCCTCATATTTCTATTGGACAAGTAACTGCTGCCGATGCTGATAGCCCATTGCTAACCTATACTCTCGATAATCCATCAAATGAAATATCATCTCTTTTTTATATATCATCATCTGATGGCACAATCTATGTTCAAAATTCACTTGACCGTGAACAATCTGATCAATATATATTTTATATAATTGCATCCGATGGTTACCATACATCATCACGTATTAAAATTCAAATAAACGTCCTCGACTTAAATGATGAAACTCCACGATTTATATTTCCAAATAATAATAATGATACATTAATTATTGATCGTGCATATTGGAATATGAATGATTATATATGTCAAATAGAAATTCAAGATAATGATCAAATACAAACTCATACATTATTACTTATCTATCGTTCTGATCAGCTGAAAAATTATGATTATTTAATTAAACAGAAAAATACAATTGAGTTTGATTCAGGAAGTTTTTTTCTCGATCAACAAAATAAACTTTTTTTTAATGCTACAAATGGTACAATTCTAAATGAAGGAGTTTATTATTTAGCATTTAAAGTATGTATGAAGCTTAACATTAAATTATAATCATTTAAACACTTGTCTTGTGACATATCTATTAGAATACTATTCTCTGTATAACAAGGGCTTATCGAGAATCATTCCGACATTGTTCAATTTCCCTAGCTATAGGTAATTTCTGGGAAAACTCTCACTACTAAAAATTTATAATAATTATTAAAAAACACGCAGACACACAATTACCATAGTTATGTCTTAAGTACGATCTACGTGTGTAAACAGAGTTCAAAGTAGAAATTTGAAAAAAATACCATTAAAGTGCAGCGTTCACGTAATGATAAATCAATGATGTAAACTCATTTCAGGGTATTCTTAATTTATTCGGGTATCCATAATGTACATAGTCTTGACTTCAAAGTGATTGAACAGTTGAAAGATTTTACTTGGTTAGATGCATCAAACTTCAAAAATATTCATTTGTCTTCGTCTGATTCGAATGATACGACTGGAATCTTTTGCATTCTATTTTGTTTTATTGTGGCTTTAGTATTTCTAAATCGAATAATTATATTATTTAGATTGTTGATGGAAACAATTATAATGATGAGAAATTATTAAAATTAATTGTTGTTAATGAGTTCGAACATCTTGAAACAATTATTAAACAATATGATTACCTTGGTTTACATTTAAATAATCGTTTAGCTTATTTACAATATCATCGAGCAAAATCCGTTCATTCCTCAACTGTGAATGAATCAAATAGGGTTGTTCTTTTGATTATTTTTGTTATTTTAACAAGTATTCTCATTGGTATAACATTTATATTTATTTCATTAATAAGACGTAGAACATTTAAACAAAAAGAATTATTAAAACAACATGATTCAATATCATCACGTTGCCAGCAACAATCGAATAATTCAATGATTCATACGTTAAAACCATCTAATCATAACAATAGAAAAGGAAATCTACATGTTACTAATTGTTTTGATTATAATGATTCAGCATTACTTATGTTAAATAAAGATTTAATAACATCGGCATCGGTTGCTAATGACAAATGTTGTTTGTTGGAAACAATAAATGAAAAAGAAATTTATGATCAACAAAAAAATAAGGTACAGCTTTCTATTTCGCATTTCATAATGTTATTCTTAAATCCAATTCAATTTTTTCCTTACATCGAATATATTACTAATGAGGCAATCGTTTGCCGCTCATAATGTTCATAAAATGATGAGAGCTACGTTAAGAAAATTTTTTGTAATGTTTATTACCAATGCTAAGCCACTTTTGATTCAAAGTGAATTGGCAATTTGTTTTCCCTGCTATCGTTATAACAGTTTGTACAACACATTCGAAACGATTGATTTTTTTACAATACTTAACTACAAAAAACTATATTTAATCGCAGAAAAATTTCTAAAGCTTCAGTGTCTATAATTGCTAGCCATTATTTTTTCTTTCACTAAAATGGCACATCAGTGTCGATGACATACTATTGATTAAAAATACTCAGATTTTCTCCTTGTTATGTTTATATAGATAAGAATAACGTTCTTTGTGAATTTTCGTCTACTCAGCAGACGGACAAAAGTACTCTAATAGTTTATTTAAGATTGTAGCTTTAATTAAAATATTTACAGTAAAGTAAACTGATTTTTTTGATGTATTAACACTTCTCATATGTTTTTATGAAATATCAATATTTTCGATTCAGACATATTCATCGTGGGTATTATCAAAATCAAATTATCCTGAAGCTCATTATTCACAGCGTAACACTGATCCATCAACATTTAATTCATTTAATCATATTTCAATTCCATCTTCATCAAATTTATCGAATGAATTATGTTCACCAAAAAGACATTCAGTTACTCGAGTACCATCTGAATATATAGTTCCAATTACGACATCATCAACAAATCATTCTTCACACACACCTGTCAGTTCTGATGATGGATTTTGTGGTTCATCCGATATATCAGATCGTTCACTTTCTACAAGGAATAATCCTTTATTATCATCATATCGACAAGCATATTTAGCTATGAAAGATGGCATTAGAAATAAAAATCATCATTCATCATCGTTTACATCATTAACAAATGGAATAGATACGACAAGACGTGTTCGATTTAAGCTTGAATCGGAAAAATCCAGGACTCATTTATCTGATCATAGTTTAAGAAAATTTGAACAAATGTATTTGACTCAAGATAATATTTTAGAAAAAAAATCAACTAATTCAACAGTTGTCTAGTCTTTTATTCTAACAGTATATTATATAAATATTTATTTGTGTACACATGAACGACTTATGTTTTTTTTTCTCGTTTTCATATATGTGTTAAATATTTCGAATTATGTTCATTTCTTTGTTTTTGTCATATAAAAAATATCTTTCCTAATGTTTACTCTCTCTCTCTTTTCTATTGATACACGGAATAAGACGAGGAAGAGATTGTAATTAGAAGCTCGTCAAGGTAAATATTCAAAGCAGATTTCAATCTGTCATAATCAGTTTTCTTTTTATAACTTAGACGTCCTGTACACAGTTTGACTTTTACCAAAATTATTTAAAAAACAAACACGCGTAGTGATCAGTGACGTTCAGCAAGGTTACCGTTTGAAAAATGATTTTCGACGATCACAGGGACATTCATACATCATAGCTAGGACTATGCTCGATACGATTAATTCATTAATTTCATTCCTAAATAAATAGTCTACATTAAGAATATTACATTAGGCGAAGTCGATCAAATTAATTGACGACATAAACCGAGAAAGCATGCATTGTCAAAACAATAAAACTATGACACACAAAGAAGAAAGTCAGAACATGTAATTACAGTAATATCAGTTAAATTCATAAACAAATAGCTTCAAAACGATCTAAATCTTGACTTATGTAAGTCAGTAGGACGAATTGGTTTATGTAAATCGAACGTCAGCAAAACATTACTCTTGATTTGAAATTGAATGAGTGCATATCCAAAAGGAAATCTTTCCTGGAAGATCTAAACATATAGAGAAATCAGTTTTTCAAGGATGCGTTAAATTTTGATTTATAGTAAATTCGTAGAAAGTTAGCCATTTTGGCTAGCGTTTATTGTTAGACAAATAATATTTAAGATCATCTTACGATCATTGACTGGTAGATACAGCTGCATGTGAAAATTTATGTATGAGAAATATTATTCTGATTTTTAGAGCTTTGAAGTATGTGGCTGTACGTAAAGAAGGGATACTCAATCATATATTTCACACTCTAGTTGACATCAACACTTTAATCACAGTAGTTACAGAATTTAACTCTAGAGGGAAATATAATGATTAATATTTCGGCGTATTTGGAGATAATTTAATATACTTCGCGGTACTCTAATGTACTTTAAACTATAGAAATATTATATGTTGCTCTTGAGCAAGACGCTCTTTCCAGTCTCAATTAGCTATATTTATTCAAAGTCAAAACCTTGGAAACTACCAAATCCTGAATTTCAAGCTTGAATACTATTCTATTGCAGTATAACCCGAATTAAAAGATTTTTAAACATTTATGGAAGTAGTTGGCTAGTAATTATATATTAATCAGAACAGTTTCCAGGTCGAAAATGCGACTTCGTATACGACCGTATGTCGTCGTAGTTCACGCGACGTGTGTACGACAGTATACGGTTGTCATAACGCTCGACCTGGATTATTATCTGGATTTGAATTTGCAATCCGTTTACTGTCAAAAGTGAGCAATATAGATATATTTTAAATAGGAGGTACTTATAGAGCAGTAGATTCAAAAAAAGAGCTTTCTAGAAATACAATAGCGAATACAAATGATCAAAACAGAAAGATAGAGACCAAAAACCAGTATATTTTAAGTAGGCTAGTATTTATAGGTTACATACGTTTGCACGGAGAAATGAATTATAGCTGTTTCAATTGTGAACAATCCAATAGCTAACTTTTACGATAAAACTCTACGTGCAAGATGCTTTTTTCACAGAGTCGTGTAAGACATCGAACAACTTCGCACTATACTATTCAGATTCCAATGAGATACTTAGTTGAATTAAATATTTTTTAACGAAATAAATAGAATAGTTTCTACTGTGTATGCTCATGGTATTCTTCAGTTTTCGACAGCTGTGAAATATGAAACAGGAAACTGATTACTATCTAAATCATTTGTTTGAATAATTTTTTTAAATAAAATTGATAACAGAAGCGACAATGTTCTTATGAGTTCAATTTTTATTGACTTCTATTACAGTTCGTACGACTTTTTAAATATTAAAACATTCAGATTCCTTTGTGGCACTCCAACTTCCATTGATACAAACAACCACCCGATCGATTGTCAGTATCATCACGAAATGGTAGTGTCCATTCTGGATGTGTACTCCAACCGGAGCAACTATGTCGTTGCCCTTGACATTGACTTGAACCTTCCGTTTCTTGAAAGCAAATGCGACAAGCACTAATAGTTCTGACTTTTACCAATGCAAGCTCTTCTTTTAATGATGCAATACTCGATCTTAGTTCGTTGAAATCTTTGTCTTCCGATTGCTTGGTTTCTGTCGCACCCACAGCCATAAATGTAATAAAAAGCGTGAAAATCAAAATATGACGTATCATCTCTAAACATAAACAATAAAATATACTTATTAGAAAAGGTAAAAAGTATATACAAGGTTATGCTCTTTGTGAAAATTAGCGGTATTCACTGGTGTCTACTTAATTCAGTTAGATTTTGATTGACTCCATCAATTCAAAATAAGTTCTGTGTTTCAAAATATGTTTTTGTCTTAGCTTTGAAAATCACTACATGCATCATTTTAAGTAAAATAAATGCGCTGCTACAAAAACCTGACCCGAGTGTTGTTTATTCCAGCAATGCATTGTTCTATTTTTCAAATTTCAGACGCAACTAGCATACCTTATTTTCTTCGATTAAATTTTTTTTATCTTAGATCAAATTGTTCGCTTGTCAATTGAATTCGGCTGAAAAATGATGAGAATTCAGTCTATTTTATATCAATAGTTTTGCTTCATTATGCTAAAAGAAATAATCACTTCCGCTGGAATATACTTATAACAACACATACTTAAAATTATGTTTTAGATTTTAATAACCTTTTGTAATTCAAATACTAATTTGAATAATGACAAACTTCATATTATGCAGATATGATTTACTTCTCTGAATATAAGTACTTTAATACCATTGCTTCATTATATTTTATAACATGAGCGGTCTAATTCAAATTCAAATATAAATGAGCCTCGAAGTGCTTATGGTGAGTTCGATATGAATGAATAAAAATCACGCCTGCACTTGCATCTAGCTGAAATGAAAATTATGACTTTAAATATAATTTGCAAATTAGTTGGGGCTGTTTCATAACTGCGACGTAAGTGGAATACAATATTCTGGATTATTCTTCGAATCAGAATTGCAACTTCTTGAACGCCACCCTTGAAGGTACCTCAATAGGATTTTAAGGGGTATATCAGAGTGAATGTGCCCAGCGAGTACTGTAAGAAACCCCGATTGGCGCACTCCTACGTCAGCTCTATCTTATTAATAGGTTATAACTAGGGTTAAAATTGAAATAATTGCTTTCGACTTTTGTGGTGTACTTATACCACAGTCCAATCTTAAGTTTTAATAATTTTTAAAATTCTCCTACGAACATGATGTTGACCTTTCTTAAATGTTCATTTAAGTTCAAATTAGGGAGTCAGTCATTTCTAATCAATCAAAAATCATGAGTTCATTATGACTCAGTTGGTCTGTCGGTTTATTATTGTTGTTATTCACTCGTTAATAGAAAGAATCGCTCATTATGTTTCGATAGATGACACTTTAATAACAGTGGCAACGAAAAAAAATGGCTATTTTGTAGAGATGTAAATGTGAATATGATTCGTTTCATGGTTTACTAGCACTTTCACTAGCATCCATAACCATATATCTATACAATCAAATGCACACACATATTCAGCCATCCCAAGACTTTTCTACAGAAAAATAATCGAAATCAATTAGGAATCGACTCTTTTCTCATGAATCCTTGTATAAAAGAAAGAGAAAAACTATCTCATTTGCTGCTTTTTTGATTGTAATCCTTTTGAATTCAATGACATAAACATTCTCTTAGCATTTCGAATATTTCGTGAACTCACAAATATTACTTGATAAAAATAATTTAATAAGTGCGCTCCAATTAATCTGATTTTCTGTTTTTTAAAAAAACTGCACAAGCAGCCATGTGGTAGCACCAATAGTTTTATAAACGAATAGTTCGAGTATCGCTGCTTTTTACCCATGAGTAAAAAACGGTATTATTAATATGGCGATCTTTTTCTCGAGCATAGATATAGCTTCATATTAACGTACAGGCTTACCACCATATTAACACGTGCATACGTGCATTACCTCCATTGTTTATCTTCTCGGTAGAAGTACTAGACAAGCCAGCAACCATTTATATATCTATGTAAATATTTAGATTGTGTGAAATCAAGAGCAACCTTATCTAGTCTTTCTTTTGGCCATGTGTATCTGAGATTTATTTTTTTATAAAAAAAAGGATCATGTTCTGTACTGCTGTATCGGTAGAAAAACACTTTATTTTTTTTATAGAGACTACTACTGAGTGAGAAGTAAGATGGATAAGATTAGCAAGAAGAAAACTCTTATCTTCATTCAAATTTCTTTGAAGTCGAATGAAGAGTACTAGTAGAGCAAAAACAAACCAGCGAAGATATCAGTTCATGAGATGTTTCAAAGTCAATTGTTAGATTTTTTGCATTGAGATAGAAAACTTAAAATTTTTGGCAATCGATGCGGGGAAAAGCCACAATTTTTTTTCTCCGTACGATTTAGCCTATTCAAAGCGAGTTTATACTAACAATGTGTTTTTTTTCTAAGTCATAGGTTTCGCTGTTATTGATATCAAAACAAGATTCGTTCAATATCATTGTATTTTGAAACATTCAAAAATAGCATAAATAATTACAAGTATGGAAATTAAAATATATCAGGTAGATGCTTTCACAGATCGATTATTTGCCGGTAATCCGGCAGCGATATGTCCATTAGAACAGTGGTTATCGGACTCATTGATGCAGCAAATTGCTGCTGAAAATAATCTTGCTGAAACTGCTTTTTTTGTGTCCAATTCTACTGGCGATGGGTATGAAATTCGTTGGTTTACACCCGAACTGGAAATAGACCTTTGTGGACATGCAACTTTAGCGACTGCACACATTATTTTCACTGAAATATCTCCAATGCTTGAGAAAATCAACTTTCAAACCAAGCAAGCTGGTGACCTTACTGTTACTCGTAAAAAAGAAGCTGGCTTATACACTCTAGATTTTCCTGCTCGCCCAGCTGTAAAAGCTGATCTACCTGATGGATTATTACGGGCATTATGCAGTGACATAACACCCAAAGGAATTTATAAATCACGAGACTACATGTTAGTCTATGAACAGGAAGTCGATGTTAAACAAATATCACCAGATTTCATGGCTTTAGGCAAAATTGCTAATGTATTCGGTGTGATTGTTACGGCTCCTGGTGATGACGTTGATTTTGTGTCACGCTATTTTTCGCCAGGCGCTAGCATTCCTGAAGATCCTGTTACGGGCTCAACACATTGTACTTTAATTCCTTATTGGGCCGAACAATTGGGTAAAAATGAATTGCAAGCTGACCAGATTTCTACGCGTAAAGGCAAACTTTGGTGTTTCAACAAGGATGATAGGGTATTAATCTCGGGTAAAGCGATCACCTATTTAAAAGGTCAAATAAACATTTGAGTTTGTAGGTTCAGATTACCAATGAATAAATATGTTTCTATCCCATGTGCACCTTAAAAATAACGAAAAGTCAACATGATTGTATACATACTAACTAACAAGTACGAGATGAATAGCTTAGACTGCATGAATCCGTATCGTTCATCTTTCACGTAGATCCCTGTAAATATCATGAGGAAATCAAAGAGCAGCAATGTACGTCGAAACCAATATTTTCAGAAAAATCGAAAATGACTTGATCACTTTCAAGAGATAGCCTGAATTTTCAATCAAAAAAAAAGGTAACTACTCTCGAATAGTTCTTCGCAACGATCCGAATAAATTTGAGAGAGGAATCTTTGTGCCAAACTATGTATGTTTACTCGCCACCTTCGATTCGGCAAAGCCATCAATCAGGAAAATGTATTACCTCATGAATTATTATGACAGAGTAAGCGAACTATTCATCTTATCTTTGACGATACTTCTTGTAAAGCATAGATATTATTTGAGATTTTCTGTAATCATTCAAGTCGTACCTATATGTTTGCTAAATTTTGAGAATGTATCATGTCAAATGTAAATATTAACGATCTTTTATTGAACAAGTATAATCATCTGATTGAATTTTGTACACTAACATTCGAAAGTAAATGCTAAAGGTAATACAATAATTTCGAAGAACAGCTGAACAAGTGTGACACACATTTTCATTCATATCAATAGTTGAACTTGAAAGAATAGATGTACATAAAGAGACTGATATTGCGGAATACTGTATTCTCATTTACATTCAGTGCGACAATTTTATTTCTATTTTTTTGTTGCTTTACCTAATCTCACTCGATACGTGATTTTGTTGTTATGTTGATACTATCAGATACAAAGAAAAAGAAAAATGAAAATATTATTCTTTGCTATCATTTATATCAGAGTCACAACTACTCATATCATGTTTTTTCTTTGCTGATTTATATTTCTGCCATCAGCTATTGCTCTCAATTCATTGATGATTAGTATTGGTGCAGCTGGTCATGTTATTCCAATGTTTGAATTAGCCAAAGCTATGAAACATCACAATGTAACATTTATTACCGAATCCGTTGCTCAAAACTATATCGACTTCGGTTCCTATCGAAATTCGTTGTCACTGCGTGTTATCTTCACGAATGAGTCGATTGATGCTCTAGCTGACGAAACCAAAATAGAGAATGATCTCGTAGAATATTTTACTAATCATTCACTCGTGGATAGCCTTGCTATTTTAATACCGACTCTGGCTCGAAGTATTGACGCAATATTGAACAAAACAATTCAAACTTTAATGATTGAACAATATGATGTGATTATCGCTGAATCTTTCATCAAAGGTGTTCATGCTCTCAGTAATGATACAAATATACCATGTGTAATTCAAACTGCTGGAGTCAAGTTGGATCAGTTCTACATCAATCTACCGGACAGAAATTCATTTTTATCATCAAAACAAATGTCTCAACTTAAATATAGAATTTATAATGTTGCATATCATCTGCGTTTAATGGGATCAATCGGGATCAAATTACTACCGCTAATTTCCACAATTTTTCGATCGCCACCGAAAATACCCGGTCCATTTTACAACACGTTTACCTTGAAAAATATTTTTTTTACAACAACTAAATGTTTACATTTGCATAGTATTCCACCCACACTCTTTCCATTATCTGAATCAAATCCCTACTCAATATATCTTGGTCCTTTTATTGATGAATCATCAATTCATCATGCGACGAATGATCTGGTCGGATGGGTTCAATGCAAACCAAAACATTCCATAATTTATGTAGCTTTTGGTAGTAGTGCACAAATTCGAAGCAATCAAATGAAAAGTTTAATTGACGGTGTGATGGAATTCCTTTTACACACTCCCACTGCTTGAGTCTTATTTGCATTTCGTAAGGGCAATTATAATAATTATCAAAAAATAAGAAGTGAAATGAAAAATGATGAATATCAACGTATTTTATCCGATGAACAACGTTTTAGAGTTGAAAGCAGTTTTGTTCCACAAAAATGGATATTGCAACAGAATTCAGTCAACTTATTTATAAGTCATTGTGGTATGGGTTCTGTTGGTGAAGGGCTTTACTTTCAGAAACTGATACTTTGTTTACCAATGTGCACAGATCAATTTGTAAATGCCATGGCAATTGATCACTCTGGTGTTGGCGCATCTTTATTTATCCCTCCAACATTATGGCCATCATTGCTTCGTCCGGATGGTTTTCATCATTATACATTTTTAGCAAGTGCAGTCACAAGTAAATTATTCACTATTTGGGAGAATGCTACTTATGTAAAAGTGGCTCGAATGATGTCTCTCGAAATGAAACATGCTGGTGGTGTAAAAAGAGGTGTCAAAGAAATTGAATTCTTTGTCAACGCTCATGGTGATTTACTTCGTTATATGCCATTTTCAAATACTCTAGCATTTTATCAAAGGTATATGCTTGATCTGGTATTAGTCTATATAGTTCTACCGATTGCAATCATATTTTATCTTGCTCTAAAATTCTGTTGGAGTAATATAAAGAATAAAATCGATTAAATAGAAGATTGCTGACATGAGAAAATTGCCAAATTATTTTCTCTATTTTATGTGTGTGCTTGATTTGCCATATGGATCGAATTAATTATTATTACTCTCCATCCAATAGTAGAGTGTACACCAGTAACTTGATTTGATGATTAAAGTCTGATTGAAAAACATACACTGCGGAATAAAAAATAATGGTTACACCGAATGCTACAGTAGGTATTTTATTTGAGAAATTCGTCTTATGTATAATTTGGAGTTGGATATACTGGAAGAACAGATGGTTTCAATTCTACCAGTAACGAATACTAATCAGAATAAAACTTTTCAAGGCATGAAGATGACAGTAGTCTAATAGACAATAGAGTGTTTTTCTTCGAAACTAATACTCGGTTTAGATAATAAATCGAACAACGAATCTATCAACCATAATAGCTATATTATGTTTAATAAGAAAAACAAGCGATACAAAATACAAATAAATGTGTTTGTATCAATGCTTTCCCCGAAAAGTACCATTTGCAACATTACATACATATTTATGTTGCTTTCATCAACCTCAATGGTCTACAACTGTATTGAAATTTGTTATTGAAACAGTTTTTACGATTGTAAATCCACGATTTTCATACCAGGCTTACAATGGCAAAGAAAAATGATGATAAGACAATCATCATTGAAAAAAGTCTTATTTATACTCTCATGAATTTTCAAGTAAACTGTTAATATTGAATTGCTGGCTACTTTTCTACCTATGTTTATCAAGTCATGGGTTCAGGTATTTTTGGTAGCCATATATTTAGATACATGCTTTCGTTCGAGACTATACGAATAGCCAAAGCGAAGTGAAAATAGAAAAAGTCATATCCAGTATTAATTTCAATGAGAGAAATGCGTCTTTTGTCAGTCACCATTTCAGAAGCTCTTTGTAATTCTAAAATCTCTCATACATTCAGATAAATATCATTTATATCTATTGTGTTGAGACGTATACCTATGATTTGCATCGACGAAGGAGATCTTATTCATTAAGGGAATACATAGGGGAAGAAACATATAAAATGTGATTTCGCCACAGTAATGACTTACAGGAAAGCAATAAGATCTATGAATTTTCATTTGAGATTCAAAAGCCAACATATCCATATACAAAACAAGGCCATATTCAACATTATACATGATAAGATATTTGCTTTAAAAGTTGTTTACTATTTTTTTTCCAAGGTGATAGGATACACTTTCAAATGTGTTGCATGCCTAGCTGTATGTAAAGTAATAGTCCATTCTACATACCAATACAATAGGAAAGAAACTGGAGAACTTGTAATAACTTCTCTGGCATAGTGTCATATTTATATGAAAGTTAACATTAAAAAATTAATTAAAATGATTGACAAATGGATTATTTAACATTTTGAAAGACTATTGTATAAACCTACTTACTTACGATTCACTTTTTAAGCAAACTTCGGGAATGAAACAACAAGTTTTCCTAGTTGTTTTCTCATGAGAATTTTTGTGATTAGATACGTATAATCCACGAAATCGGACATTATTTTTGACATTTTAACGCATCGCTTTGCTTTTGAGTGATTGAAGAATACGTAAAATTCAAGCAAATAAAAACTCGACCTTATTGCCTTATGTTCTTGCTTGCAGTTCGTTGCCTACCATCTTTTATTTGATGTTATTCGTTTGGTGACAGTAGCACAATAATGACGGAGCAATATTTTTTCTCCTGTTTGTCTTCTCTGCGATCGATTCATGTGATTAAGTTCTCTCAGAGAATAAAAGTGCAAATTCATCGCGCTGACAAGGCATTTTTTTACCACCGTGGTTACTCATGTTTAACCACATAATTCATGTATATATATACATACACTTCTGTATGTTTATATAACTTCTGAAATTTTATCTATATCAATGGGTTGTTCATCAAGTGCTCCTTCACAAGACTCGATTCACAGAACAAATAACACACAAGTAAGCATAGAGTTAAAGATGAATTTTCAGATTAATTTATAAAATCTTCTATTGATTCAAGTCGCCGAGCGATGCAAAAGACTCGATCATTGTTTATGGTATGGCAAAGTCGGTCGCTACTCAGCGTGTATTGGCTACATTGATAGAGAAAGGTCTCAAGTTTCAACTGAAAATTGTCAATCTTATGACCGGTGAAAATAAGGTAGGAAATAAGAGATCATTTTTTTATGTAAACTAGTATGGATTCAATAGAATCGATCCTATTTGGAAAAGCAACCATTTGGCGGTGTTCCAGCACTTGAAGATACTGATGGATTCATCATCTATGGTCAGTTGATGCAATAAAAAATCAATAAAAACTTCAATTTCCTGCGAATGATATTAATTGAAATTTTTGTTACCGTTTAGAATCTCGGGCAATTTGTCGATATTTGGAAGCGAAATACAAAGACAAGGGCACCGAATTAATTCCAACAAATAGTATAAAAGCTGAAGGTATTTTTGAACAAGCTGCATCAACAGAAATATCTAATTTTGACCCTTCGGCCAGCGATATTATTGGCGAGCGAGTATACAAAAAGTAAGCTAGTGAGATATTCTTTTTTCAACTATTTTTATCAAAATTTTGTGAACTAGATTTCGAGGCGGAGAACCAGATATGAACAAAGTAGCTGAACTACGACGAGATTTGGCCGAAAATTTGGATGTTTACGAGAAAATCTTGTCTAAACAACCATATCTGGGTGGAAATGTAAGTAGAACATTTCTATACTCAATAATATCAAATTTATAAAGTTGCCTTGATTATATAGACGTTTACTCTTGCTGATTTATTTCATTTACCGGTGGGTTCAATGCTTACGAACTGTGGCGAAGGTGAACTGTTTGAATCTCGACCAAATGTCAAAAAATGGTGGAATACAATTTCAACGCGACCAGCATGGAAAACCGTTCTAGCAACGATGTGAAATCCAACAACACAAACATTTAGGCTGGTTATCTTTTTTTTTGTATTTTTTTCATGAAAAATAATCTCAAGACAGACTCAATACTTGACGAAAATCTAAATCTTCTTATTACTTAGAGCACAAAAATGTATATCACCTGATACAAAAGTATTCGATTGGCACATAATGCTATTTGAAGAGTCATCAACGGTTGAGATAAAACATATATAGTCTAACGGACTCAACTGTGCGGATACAAAAATCGATGTAAAGAATGTCATCATCGTCATAGTAGGAAGTTTTAGGGAAATGTATAGATTTATAGTTGAATTCAGAACTGTTTGAGGATAAGTGCATAGCATGTGATTGACTAGCAAATATTTTATTTAAAATAATACTGTATTAGAATCAACGTTTAATAGCTGCATGTGTGCAGTTGTCGTAGATCAATCAGATTATGGTTCTATACTTTAAGAAAAATACAAACCTATGAAACATGTTTTTACCATCACATTTCAAAAACTGAACAATTGCCAATATTACTGTTGAACACAATGAATGAATTGACTATTTCAAGTTTGACTTTCTCAGTAGTATATATTTTACTTCATCGACCTCAAATGTTGAGATATCGTATATTAGCAGTTTAACGTGCTTAAAATATATTTCCTAGCTATATTATTTGTCTACACTTATTATTTACTTTTCGTAGTTATCTACGTTATTCTATTATATTTTTCTTAGTGTAACTTCTCTGCTCTGCATCCTAAAGACTTTGGATAAAGCTTATTATAGTAAATATTAAAAAGAAATAGAAATATAGCTGACATAAAAATGTTCTATTTTTCTGTTGATATATACTTAATCGCCTGCTGCTAGACTGCAATTAACCACTTGAGCATGTCAAGTAGCTAAGATAAAGTCTCTAGTTAACTTACTTAACTTCATCTGGTTCTCATCGTACTATCTCAGCAATGCTAATGGAGAAACATATCGATGTACAAAGTATTTTCAATGGATAAAACTTCTATAAATATGCCTAAATTTATTTTTAGATGAAACGCAACTATTCAAAGACTATATGTATATATCTTCAATCTCTATGAACCTTATTTATGAAAAGGATAATCATGAGATAATCATAAAAGAACCATTAATATTTATTCAAAGGAATTATTTAGACTTGAATTAATAATACGAAATATCGTGTTTAAATATTTATCGTACAAAAGTATTGCATAAGTACGTTCATTTTTCGATTTCAATCCATTGTAAAACTATTAATTCGTCAATGTCAGATAAAAGACAATAAGTCAAGCGATATAGAGGACTATTGTTGTAATGCATCAGTTTGTTTTTGAAGGAACACACCGTAGTAAGAGAAATAAAGAAACAAAAATAAACTGAGCAAGTCAAAAGGAGAGACGGTTGTTATGGGTAGTCGTAGTAAATTGTGTTTCGACGAGAACGAAAAAATATGCACATTAAAATGAATTATTCATCGAATGGGTAGATTATGAAACTACTTGAACTTCTATTGAGAACAAACCAACTTAAATTCTTCAGTAGCCCATGCAGAAAGTCAGCAATGAAAAAGATAAAGATTTAACTAGCATTCGAATAAAATATAATGATGAAAATCATTGAGCATGAACTTTCTTTTTTCATTTCAATAAGAATATCTTGTAAAATATAAGAAATATAACTGCCGAACTATCGATTGCTGGTAACATTGGAAATTACTTTATAAAGTTCTGTATAAAAAGACATCATTTGATTGCAAACAATTTGTTAGAGTTCTTACTTAAGAATCATGTTATCTATAAATTTTACAATTTCATTCAACTACTGCCTTTATATCTTCATACTTAAATATAGTATTCGATCTCGTATTTATCTAGAGAACTGGTATATTCAAGCGGCATTGTTTTCAGTGTGATAATTATTGAACTTGTTTGTGACCTGACTATATTTTTTTCATGAGAAAACATTATAAATACTGCATTCCGATGTGTTTCTGAGAAACATATTGTTGCATAAAAGGATCCCTCAAGCATCGAATTTAGAATTTACGAATAAAAACATCTAAACTATAAAAACAAAACCAATTGTAAATAGAACAGATCAGATAAACTAGAATATATTGAAAGAAAAATAAAAATGACGTTCAAACACAAAAATAGCATTCTTCTTCCGAAAAGTTGACATTGAAATGTGTTTTGATACTATTTTTGTTGTCGGTAATAAAACAACAATAATAACAACGACTGTCTTCGAAATTGTGATTTGAAAGAGAATCAAAGTCTAATTATTTTCATCTATTCTATCAACAAGAATCGTTTTTCGTTTGTTGCCATCGATTCATTGTTTTTTAGTCATTATAAGAGAAACCAAGAAAAGCGCTTCTTTTTTTCATTTTTTTTTATCGATATTCGTTGATTAGCATGAAGTTTTTTTAATCAATCTCAGCACTCGATAAAGGTGAACCGCATCGAGCATTGTCATTGTCAATAAAATAAAAAAATCTTTTTATAATTATATAAGGTTTCGATCGAAATAGAAAAAAGATGCGATCGAAGTCTTTTAATAGAACTCAATGATATTCTGCTTAAATTCATTTTCTTTTTATTTCTCCGCAATTATGCGATTGATTTTGTTATCATTTTAGAAATAATGAAATCGATTTTTAATCGACAAGTTTGTACAACCTGTTTGAAACTATCTGAATCTTTTATTTGTCGTGGATGTCGGCAATCATTTTGTGCAAAACATGTCAATCAACATCGGGAAAAAATTGCAAAAGATATGAATACTCTTGTTACTAAATGCAATCGATTACAAGATGAATCAAAATCCGAGAAATTCGCTCAAGAAACACTAGCCAGTATTGACCGATGGGAAAAAGAATCGATAGAAAGAATTCGAAACACTGCTCAAACAGCTCGAGCCGAATTGAGACCATGGATAGAGCGAATAAAACACGAACTTGACGTTCCCTTTCAGACAATGATGAATGAACTTCAATCTAGACGTAAACTACAAGATTATACTGAAGTTGATTTAAAACGATGGGGTGCACAATTGAAAGAGTTCACTGAAAAGCTGAAACAACGACCTGTTATTGAATATATTGATTGCGATGATACGCAAGCTGTGCATCTAATTAGAATTATTGATCGCGTTAGTTTGATTTCACCACTCGATGCTAATTCTATGAATTCTCGTTCGGAAAGAAGTTTGAACGCATTACAAGAGTCGTCTACTTTTGATCAGGAAGCATTTGGAGAATTTTATGGAGCAGTTACATTATCTGAACATAATCGTATTGCTGCATACAGTGGTCCTTGGATAGGTGATGCTAGTGTGTGTGGTAAGAATTCGTATTCATCTGGAGTGCATCATCTTCGATTTCGTATCATGGATAAATTTTACAATGCCCCATTTCTTGGTATTTCTACTGCAGCTCAACTAATGACTGAACGTATGATCACATGCCAATCGACGAATGGTTGGTCGAATTTCGATTTTCCAGTAGTCAATGGTAAAGAGGAATTTGTGGGAAAGGATCGAATTCTTCGACCCGGTGATGCGGTCACGTTAACATTAGATTGCGATAGACGACAACTTTTATTAAGGCATCTTCGAACGAACAGACTTTCACATTTACCAATTGATGTTCGTATTTGTCCATTTCCTTGGAAACTTTTGATTGTTTTTCGACGTAGAGATGATTCTATCCGTCTTCTTGGTGGCTCAGTTGGTTTAACAACGACAGATTTAGATGGAAAACTACCTGATCCTCTCAAAACATAAAAAGATATTGTAAAATTGGTGCCTTAGTCATAATCGTTTGCATCACTTTGCTCATGGGCATCTATCTTCTTGTGGTATCCGTGTTGTAAAGATGCGTCTGTTTTTCAGTTGATTGATAAATAATAATGTCAGAAAATGCATCGTTTGTTCATGTGCACATTATGTATAGAGTTTCAGATTCTATTATTTAACGACCATTACAAAAATAAATGAAATGATAAATAAAACTTTGAAACATAAAGTTATTTATACAACAAGTTCCTTTGCGATAAGTTAATGAGTAATGAGAGAGATGTAAGATTTATGAAAATAAAATAATAGACACTTAGCTTTGCACGATAGAAATGTTTAAAACGTTTTCAATTGTATCGAATAGTATTGAACTTACATGCTGATTGAATCTTTAGCATAACCGTGTTTTACTTTTGAATAAATCCACTAATCAATGTCAAAATATTTTTTACTCTCTCTCTCTCGTATTGACTATTCTGCGTTACTTGATTTTAAAATTTTTTTTAGTATCTGGGACAATGAAAGCATGCTTCTTCGTTGACTATCTGCTACTAGTGTTCATTTGCAATTGATAAGGATCAAGTTCTCATCTAGCAAACAAGTACTGTAGCATAGTGTATCTGGTTGTACAGTATGCATTCTGTTGTGATTACTTATAATATTTTGCATAGTATCGCGTTTATCATTTTGCGATGATCTCGTTGTATCATAGAAATATTTTATTAAAACTTTACAATTAATTCTTTGTTTAGTTTAATACTAAAATATGAAAATACTGTATTTTGTAAACTAAATGGATGTCTCATCAATAAGATAATAATATTGTTAAGCACAATCTAAAATGAGTATGAAATGCGAAAAAAAACACAATTTATAATAATACGAAACTCACTTTCGTTTGCTACTAGATCTGACAAAGGTACATGATTCTCGTTTTCATCACTAGTAAGACTAACAAATATTTGTTCAAGCGTAGTCTGTGTCAGTGAATAGCTTTCGATGTCATTGTTTTCTTTTTTCTGATTGAAGAATTCGAATACATTTGCCAAATTGTATGCATGTGACGTCGTGTGAACATGATCATTCGGTGTCGTCGATACTGGTACATGGCAAAAAAGCATTCCATTTTTTTCATCTTATTTTAAAAAAATAGTTCACCAAATATGAAATTAAACACACAATTTCTTTTACCTTCAATTTTGATGCCAGGCAAAGTAGATTCGAGCTCATCTTTGATTCGATTCAATTTGTCGATTGATACTTTTACTTGGACAACATAACCGTTGCCGAAACGATTTTTCAGGTGCTGCAGACTGCCAAGACATAGAAATTGACCGGCTTTCATAATACCGATTTCTATAGATGATCGAACGATGTGTAGAATTTTTTCATGAAAACAAAACTTACTAGTACACAATGCTTCGCATTCTTCCATACTTTCATATGAGAAACTCTATTGAACTAAAATCAGTATTAGCTTTCGATTTACCTGTGACTTGTCATGATAATCGTCAAGCCAGCATCGCGAGCTGTTCGAATCACATTCCATACTTTTCGTTTGGCAGCTGCATCTAGTCCCTAAAAAGAAGCGTTGTAATCATTATTTGATATGCAATTTCGACTCAATTCAATCATAATCTCATCAGTTTCATGCATAGATTATAAAAATATTACCGTAGTGGGTTCATCTAAGAAGATTAATGTCGGATTAGCCATAAATGCAAGTGATGCACTCAGCTTTCTTTTATTTCCACCACTGAAAATCACATAAAGGCTAACTATTTATGTTAACCTTACCGAACTACTCACCTTAGATTTTGTACTTGTTGATTTTGGTTTGTATCAAGACCAAAACATTGAATCATTGTCATGTGAATCTCATCTATATCTGCTGATGTCAGACCTTTCAATCTGAATAAAGTAAAATCGTATTTATCCGAATTGCACTCAAAACAATATATATATATATATATCAGAGACGTGCACAGGACATAACTTTTTCTCCTGTCCTTGCATGTCCTGTTGCCCACCTTGGTCCTGGCTGGCGGCAAGACAGGACAACAGGACCGTCCTGCCCTGTGCACGCCTCTGATATATATATATTTCAAAATTTTTCACTTTGCGAGTAACAATATTGCAACCATGAATGAGATATCAATTCTCTTCAAATATTTATTCTCTTACTGAACTTGGTGGAAAAGAGCGAAAGAAAGACAAAGAAAATTTCCATATATGGATATTTTCCTTTATTTTTTTTCGCTTTTTTCCACTAACACCATCTTACCGAGCAAATAAAGTTAATGTTTCCCTGACATTAAGATGATCAACGAGCCAATCGAACTGTGGACAATATCCAATATCAGCCTTGTTCCCCTATGAATACCAATCTAACATTTTATTCGTATGAGAAATAATACGATAGTTACTATTCTGTTTATAAAAACTTCGCCTGATGTGGGCTGAATACTATTGATCAACAGACGAAAAGTAGTCGTTTTACCAGCTCCATTGGCTCCTTAATAATGACATAAAAATAAAAATGAACGGAAAACTCTTCCGTTAATACCCAATAGGCCAAAACATGAACTAGGTGGTACGAAAAAATTGAGATGATCAACAGCTCTATGGATACGTGTTGTAGATGATGCGTCTTTTGGTTTCTGAAATTCATGTACAAGATCTTGAACGATAACAATGGCCGATGAGGTCGACTGACTTTGATTCAAAATGAGTTGACGTTCATTTCGAACATCTGTATCAAGTTGCTATTCAAAATTGAAAACAATCATAAATTATCTATTCTTTTCTATCTGTACCATTTTCTTACCTGATCATTCCATTCGTTTGTTTTTCTGCGAGCAGTTTGTTGTTGTTGTTGTTGTCTTTTAAAACAGTATTGCATTTTTTTCCAACAAATTTTCCACCCTTCTTCAATAAACATAACAATAAACCACCAGAAAATCGATTGACCAATAAAAATTAAACACTGTATTCCTAGACCAGGTTCGCTCAATGATAACCATGATTCATTCAATGAATAATTTGTGCCCATAACTGAATTCACTGGTCCAATGCATCGATCACTCGAGCGTAAGCGAATATTGAATAGAGCATGTTTAAGATTAACTGTAGGAAACAATGCTGAGAGAATCCAACGAATATTGGTCATCAGTGTTCCTGTTTGATTCACTTTAGCTCCATTTGGTAATGTTTGACTGCCGGAAAATACTCCTATGAAACCAAGAACAACATCGACAAAACATACAAGTACATTGACAATAAAATAGATAACAAAACCGATTAATTCCGTTCCCGGAATGAAAGAGTATACATAGACAAACGGTAATGATGCCAATGAATATAGAAGAAAAATTAGAAAAAAATATCCAATATGTTGATTGGATACATAGATTTCAACTTCTGCGCCCGAATCAACTCGATATACAGCACTGATCTAAAAAAAACAAGATTAATAAACATTCTTAACTGACTTGCTATTTGCTACTGTTACCTTGACAATAATGGTTAATATGGAACATAGGATTAAACATAGAGTAAAATCGTATATAGCAGTAGAAAACCAATAGGTAACTTTAGACAAGCGAGTCAATAATTGAAGATCTTTTGAATGAGTTAAACGTTCACGAATTACATTCGATGAAAGAATACCAATAAATATTGCAGCCAGTATGCTATTAATAAAGTTAAATAATGATAATGGAAGTGTATCGAAACAATAGATCATTTCAAAAAAAAGATCTTGTCCAGTTAAGCGTTTTTTATTTGTCAATAGCGGTTGGTTCGTTGTCACAATGCTTTTCAATGATGAATTTGCATAGAATTGAAATAGATTTGTGGTAGCAACATTCAGACTTGTTGCCATTGTATGATAATTTACAGTTGAAAAATAGACTTCAAATGTCAATAACAGATTAGTTGATGTTAAATTATTAAAAAGACCAAATCCCATCTGATATTTATTTACAAATAGTTCCTCAGATTCTGTCCATTCCGATACAACTTTGTTGACAATTGTATTTGTAGATATTTGATCGATAGTTGCATTTGTATTCGTTAAATAAGTATTGAGACGTAAAAGAGCACTGCTAGCATTATTATTCGCATAGATAATAATAGTATGTGGATTATAAATAGATGGTTGTAATTGAACTTGAGCATCGACGACACGTTCATTTTGTAAAATTGATGTTTGAATAGTAGCTGGTGTAGGTAAAATAGCTACGATTAAAATCTCGAGAAGCATTGGTATTAAAAAGAAACCGATGAGAAACGAAATTTGTCGACGAGTAAGAATTAATTGTTTGACAAACAATGCCCATATTTGATTGTAGACAAGACGAATACCAGATATATGACTGTACTGTAGAGAAAACGCTGCAATCAAATTAAAAAAAAACCACAATGATGAACCCTACTCAATAATGCACTTGATGAGTTGCAATCTACTTAGAGAATTGTGTTTTTAAATATTTATTTTCAGTTAGAAATCTATTTTTGATGGAGAAAAATGTTAAACTTGGTTTTATAATTCAACATAAACTAGTACTTATTTAAAAATTGACTAATTTCCAATGTATAATGATTATATTTGCAAAAAATACATACTGTTCTTTGCGAGATCGTGCCTGGTAGTATGTGCGTCATGATGATGATGTTTCATTTTTGCTTGTTCTTCCTCTTGAATGAGTCTAAAATATCAATGTCACAATCAGTAATCAGGATATTGATAGATGAATGAGAAAAACGAAAGACCTAAGAATGTCTCATACAAAATAACTATTACATCTATTCCCCCTCACTTTGTAAACTTTCCTTACTCGGTTTTCTGAATGATATCAAAAGAAGACTTCTATGTTAGCATTCAGCATGTGATGAACTGAAATTCTCTTGCAAAGTAATATTAAATTTGCAATCGTTACAAATACTGGCTAAAACAGATGAACAACTATATTTTTTACACCACGCTCATCTGCTTATCTTAGTTATGCGTTGTTTCCTTGGAAAAATTAAAGATAAATTTGAATATTTAGTTTCAAGGAGATAGGTCGAGTTTTTAAAGCTTTCAATTCGCTATAAGCAAGATGTGATTCGGCCAATCGCGATTAGACTAGATATTCACATGTATCTTAAACACGTTTAACATTGATATCCATGACAGCTGAACATGTACTGCAATATGCGTATGATCATTTCGATTCAAATTAGTTTTGAATACTTTGAAATTAAATACTAATTTATAAATCGTAACTCGCCCTGTGCCAAAAATCTAACAGACATGATATATAAATATTACGATATAGAACGTAATTTTGAGTAATGCAAGCTAACAAAGTTATCAGAAAGTTTGTGAGAAATCTATTTGCAGCGAGACAACAATATACTATGAACCTGAGAAAGACTTCTTCAATCGTTGCCATTGATAAACCATAACCGTTGATAGCAAGTTGTTGCTGTTGTTCAGAGAGACAACGGATCAATTCAGCAATATGCTGTGTTGAGCCACGCTTAATACCAAAAACAAGTTCAGATGACGTTTCACGTTCTAAATCGACCGTTTGAATAATTTGTTGAACGGATTGAACGATAATATCTCTATTGCACGCATCTTGTTTGTCAATAAAAAGACGATATTCGTAATCTGAAATTGATTTCAAGCAAAGTTCAACTTGTGTTTTATGTTTCATTGTATATAAAAACTTGTACCTGTCTGTTGTTTGAGAAAATCTGGCGTACCACTCGCTTGTAACTGACCATGACTCATAATTACAATACGATCAGATAGAATATCGGCTTCTTCGAGAAAATGTGTGGTTAGAATTACACATTTACCAATATCTTTCATCTTTCGAATGATCATCCAAATGAGACGACGATTATATGGGTCTTAAGCCAGAAATCAACTATGTATATGCATGCCGAATAAATATTCACTGAATAGGCAATTTCTGCTAGAGATATATGGGATTGGAACTGACCTAAGAACTATTTTGTCACTTAAAATTAGTCATTTTTCACTGGAAAATTGACACATTTCTATTGTTTATTTTAAGCATTCAAAAATTGAACGTCAGTGGTGTTCTGAAATTTTCAAACATTCCTTTGACTTTTATAGTGCATTGTCTATAATGGAGCATCTATTTGCAAACAAGAATTGCTTCTGAAAAAAGCAAAAATCTGTTATCGTCATTAAAATAAAATTTAAACAACAACTCATGTCATGTCGTCGATCTCATTCGTGAAAGAACATTGCTTATTTTTTATAAAATTTCTAAAATGTTACTTTCATCGTAAGATCAACAATAATGATTGTAGTGCAAGACCAAAAGATTACAAGTTTAGCAACTCAACACTCAACGTCAGAAAAATAACATGTTAATACGTAGATGATGCTATTCAATGATCAAGAAAGACATTATATCGCAATTATTTTTAATATTTGTTTTTCCTTTGCTATCTGAATCACGGATGAACTGAATTTACTTTGATTTACTCATTAAAAATCGTTAACACTTACCAACACCACTAGTTGGTTCATCGAGAATGAGTATCTATATTAAAAAAAAGCACAAAGTTAAAAAGGTTATCAGTCTTCTATTTTCGATGTACTAACAACAATTAAAAGTACTGAACTTTTTCGATAATACAAAAGAATAGAAACACTGATGCGATATGTTGTGTATCGATTAATTTGACTTACTTTTGGATCACCTATTAACGATATGCCAATTGACAATCGACGTTTCATACCACCGGATAAATCTTTTGAAAGTGTACGTCGATCATTTACAAGTCCTATCAAATCTAGAATCTTATCTATTGATTCATCGATTTTTGTTCGGTTCAAATTACGCATCTAAAAATGTTGATAATTGATTTTGTCGAAAAGAATCTATTGTCTACGGCAATATACTTGTGAAAATAATTCTAAATGTTCTTGAACTGATAGTTTATCGTATAGAATATCTGATCATAAATAAACAATATTTACGTCTAATTTATGCACAGAAAAGTTTTCATTGATTCATACCGTATTGCGGACAGAAACCGATCATTTTTCGCGTTTGTTGAATGTGTATTCGATGATCCAGACCTTGTAAAAGAACACAACCCGATGTTGCCTCCATCATACCTATAGAAATCGAAACTTCATAGAGATCAGTATCCATTTGAATGTCAATACAACATACCAACGAGAATGAATGTAATTGTTGTTTTGCCTGCACCATTGTGTCCTAATAAAGCGCATACTTCACCTTCATAAAAATCAAAAGAAAAATCAGAAACAGCTGTGAATCGGCCAAATTCCTATCAACACGTTAATAAAAACAAAAATAATGAAGTTATCAATTAGTTCACCTTTGCCAAATGTTTGATACGAATCAATGGATAAATCCTACTGATTTTTGAATCCATCTCAATCCAATGATCATGTTTAGAAATTTTAGATTTAGTAATTCTATTCGTTGGCAAGCTACCATTTTCGTCTGAATCACTAATCGGTATTGTTTTTGATATTTTATTTTTTCGCAAACATGGATAAAAGAATGGTTGTGATACACCGAACTGACCCGGATTAATACGTTCAATATATACAGCCAATACCATATAGATAATGGAATAGGCAATCATAAGTAGAAGACAAATACCGATGTAAAGCGGATAGGTAAATAGGTTAGAATAGAAATCTTTAAATGTGGTCATATTGTCTTTAAAAAAATGAATTTAAAACTATGGAGTTTATGCAAACTTTAGGAGAATTTAACTCACCACTCTTGCGTTCATATTGTTGAATAACTTCCAAGCAAAACAAGAGGCCAGTATTAGGAAAGAAACACATCAAGTATCGAATGACAACTGGTATGTTGTTATAAAAATCGATAAAAGTTAAAATCCATATAGTAAACGCAAGAAATTTTGCTAGTAATGCTGTAGCATCACAAAGAGACAAAGAGTATTCTTATTCAATGAGATGAACCGAAAAAGACACTTACGACGACTAAAGAATTGTCCAAAGAAAACACTAAAAGTTGACAATTGAATCGAATAAACAAATAAAACCGTCCATATCACTGTCCAATGAGTAGAATTAAATACGGCTTTGTCAACACTCTTCGATGTTGCATTCGAACTTGGTAGAACAAGTACACTGAATCCAGTCAAAAGACTACATAACACAATATAGATAAACATTGAACGAGTGACCCATACTAAATTGTTAATCCAAGTGCGAAGACCAAATATACGTGAATATTCCTTAATAAAATTTAAAAATATAGTAAAAAAATAATATTCTCCTGATTTCATATTGAGTGTTTTACTTTCGCTTTGTTTCGACGTTCATCAACAATATAGCCCACATTCAGTATGAATGTCATGATAAAAATAAATGAGAATAGGATAGGAATAAAAAATCCGAATTCCGATTGAAATGCATCATAAAAATATGCGGGACAACCAAAATGGTTCATGAATATCTATGATTATGTGTTTTCAATGGGTGCAATAGAAATTGAACAACAAAAATTAACTTACACTCAATGAATTTTGACTGATATTTGTCGAATATTGAATAATTGATAAATCAATGAAATATTGAATGCCCAAAAATGCAGTATTGTACATAGCAGTTGTACTATTATCTGAACATAAGACAAAGTCAATGTATCGAAACAAACAATGAAATCAACAGCAAATACCTTGACAAAAATCTTCGGGAGAACGTTTCCATCGATAAATATTTGGATTAATCTTTACAGATTGAGCACGATAATAATATGAACCATTTCTAGGTATTAGGAAAATTCTTGTAGAACTAGAATAAAGATAAACTTAATATACTCTTGCATGCGTAAAGTATAGCTTATTGCATCTGGCATGCTGGATGGACTGAGACAAGAATTGATATTTGTGAAATAGATAAAAGCATAAATTGTTGCTTGTTTATCATTGGATAGTGAAGAAATATTTAGATTAGACAGACCTTGTACTACAATAAATAGATTTATATCCAGTCGGATACAAAAACGTAATCTAAATGAGGCTCTACAAGAGTATAAAGAAATGTTTTATCTTAACAAAAATGAATTTTATATTTACTACTCAGCATTCTCTTAAGAGGAAGTCTTTCATAGGCTACCAGTTAATTTTAAAGAGTCAAATGTGAGACGAGCATCTTCGTTCTGTGGCCTTTTTTGGTGTGAAAAATATCTAGAATATAGTGACTACAAACCGATAGTTGAAAATGTGGGCCATCGGATCGACAATGCAGCGATGGCGTTGGTGACAATGGCCGTTGTACAGGGATTTTCTATACATAGTAACGTAACAATTACAATGTTCGAATGCAAACACATATACAAACTGGGATAGTAATAGGTAATGTTAGCGTCTAGCACGCTAAATAACATGGAATCTTGTGGGTAAAAACTCGGTATTTGATAGGCAGGATTGAAATCACGATCGAGAACGAAACGCATGCCAAGCAGGAGACCCATGAATACACAAGCAAGAAAAATCTCAGCTATTGTTTGACCAAGATTTCGTTTAGTGAGGAGAAACATTTTGAGAAATAGAGCACGATAATGGTTTATAAACTCGAAGCACCAACTATGTTGATGTTTATTATCAAATTGATCCATAATGTCGTTCACTTGTCAAAATTTTCACTTTCTATAAAAACAAAGGAATCGAACGTATCGTTTTGTTGTTGTCACACCTAAATATCTGTCCATGCCAGATTTTGTTAAAAAAATAAATAGCGACTCTGATAAGAGAACTATGCGTGGAGTTATATCGAATGGATGTGAATGTGGATAGCAGCACTCCTCGTCAGATGCAAAATAAAATTTCAGTCAGATTACAACGTTCTATTTCTATATCGAGAAGATTTCTTTCGTCGATTTACAATAGACAACGTTGATAATGCATGTAAAAATGTGCAATTACTTACTTGTAATTTCTTTGTTACATCTTTATCATGTAATCGATTTTTGGAAGTACTTTATTTCTCGACACACGTGTGTAACTAACACTAATAATAAAAGACCTCTGTGTAAATAGAGAGAAGCAGAGTCAATTGTAATCGTCCTGTAGTTTTAATATTATCATGTTATTATTTGTTGAAAGACAAAGGCACGTGTCTGTCGCCAACGAAGATATTCGATTCACGTGAGATCGCAGCGTATTATTGAAGAAGAAATTCTGCGAATGAATAGTCACAAAATAATACTCGACGGATTCTCATAAAAGCAATAAATTTCAAATGACGAATAGTCAACAGCAATAAGTAATAGAAGTAGAAGAAAAATAAAAACACAAGCTGCCGATGAAGCTGATATGCAGCTTAAAAGGTCAAATCTTCTTTATAAATTATGTGTTAGTAAACTAAAAAATATTATTTAACGTTAAAAAACGAATGTAAAACGAATAGTCTCATCAAATTGAAGTATGAAACAAAAAATATTCAACTCTGCTAGATTGTCAGCAGAATTATTCTATCAAAAATATGTTTCTTTCTAGCAATCAGTAGTGAATATGAGGATAGAATTGAGTATTTCGCGATTTTATTTGATCGTCTCCAAATTTGAAAAGAACTTTTTATATAGATTCCAAATAGATAATTCGTTAAATGTAAAATAGGTTGAAGCTTGTGACTTTATCCATTCTGCTGCCAGTTCCAACGATTGAATCTCTAGTAGTCGATGAATTTTACTTGCAAAAACTACGTGCTCAGTAATGGTTTTTGTATGAATCAACTTGGTTATGGGTTACTCTTGTTAATAGTAATATTGAAAATCGATGGACTATGTCAAACTTTTAGCTATGATTAAAATAAAGTTCATGTGCAGTATATCGGTGAATGGAGCAATGATTGCGTTTTTTAAAAGTTCAACACTGCATATAAAACAGTTTATATTGCTTTGGCATGGGTCGAACTCAAATATTTTCATAGAAAAGTCTATTGCGGCCACAACAAAGTTTCCTATGTATCATCCATTTCTTCAGAAATTCATGCGTTTTCGAACCACACGGAAACGGATGCTTTTACACCAATGTTTTGTTTCACGAATAAAACTGCCGGCTTCTTTGAATGCAACTCGAATTGGTCAAAAACAAAATGAAGATCTTTCACGCTCATGTTCGAATGTAGTTATACAACACTCACTCGGGATTTTCGTTTTGTGCAAACAAGGAGAATTTTCTTCAATTAAATATTCATCACGACACCGGAATCAATACTATTAGCAGTAGTCAAACTTGATCGCAAAAGCACCTGCTGAAACTAACAAACTAATCATTTCAACTAATTCAAATTCAAAAATATAGAATCATCATCTTTAATTGGTGAAATTAATCTGCATTGTTATCCCATTTACAAATACACGATGCTTCATTGCTGTTGTTGTTGTTTGATTATGCAATTAAGGAAAAAGCAAATAATGTGCGATTGTTCACTAACTATCAAAAAAAAAACTATTTGTAAGATACTGGCTAGTACGATTCATGAGTGAGAATTTGCCTGAACTCAGTCAACTATCAGGGAGGCATAGTTGAGCCGTTATTAACAGAAATCTTTTGACATGTAAATCCAGTGTCATTGCGAAGAACATTTGTTTCTAAACAACTACAACAATCAAACCATGTTATTCTAAACGCATCAACTACCAATTTATTTTCTCTTCGATAGCATTTATATTTTGCGACTATTCTATGTACTCCGATATAATGCTAACAATATTTTAAGCTTTTCTCAAAGTACTAGGGAAAAAAACATGCTGAGAATATACTCTTACCTCAGAAGTATAATTCATCGAATCTTAATTAATGATTGAACAGTCCATTCGTAAACTCGATTTATTAAACATGGAAAATATATATAGCAGAAATCTAACATTAAATAGCATTCATTGTCCTATGCCACCTTCATAATAGTAAAACAGCAATTACTCCATTACATTTAAGTGTTTCTACATGAACTGCTATTACCAAATTGCTAGCCATATGACTTATTTTTAGTGAACAGAATAAATTTATCTCTATGTTCACTCGAATCAGTAGAATCTTAGTCAATAGTAATTAAAATAGCTGATATTAAAATACATTTACTTTTGAAACGGTGCATGAAAACCAAAAAAAAGATCAAACATAAAAAGTATATACACATGGGGCAAGATATGGAATGAAGAGAACAAATCATGAAAGCAATAGTGTACTATACGGATTTATTGCTTTTACATTGATTAGGTAGTAGAACTGGGCAAAATTGGTTGCAGGTAACAACATTCTGACAATTCATATTTATTCTTCTAAGCATATCATCTTACAAATAATGATTTCCTTCACGGTTGACAATATTAAAAAAACAATGAACATTGTGAGATGAACCGATAAAAAGAAAAAATATGCCATTTTCGACGAGCATAGAACAGACTCAGTTATCCTAGACAATTTTAAGAGAAGTTGCATCCGTAGAGCATGGGCATATTATATCCGTGAAACATTCAATGTAATATTCAATTCAGCAAGTAGTCGAATTGAATTGTTTTTAAATGAATAATACGAGTAACAGTGATGAATTCTAAAAGAAACTATGAATAATCGTTTTGATTCTTAAAGTGAACTAGTGAGATTTTTCTATCAGAGATATCTGTTGATAAAATTGGTGTACAATCTGCTGTTTGAAATTAAATAGATCGTTTGCGATTGCTCTTCTCTATTTGTGTGAAATATCATGATGTTCATTCCGAGAACAGATACTATCAATTGTTAGTTTGCTTTTTATCATACTGTCTGATACAAACGAAAATCGACTGTGTCAGCAGATAAACATTATGACATGGTTTGTCTTATCAGTTTCACTGATGCTTTGTCGTCAAAGAACACAGTCAGAGCAGTATACTGATAAAGACAAAGTAAAACATGCATTGAATATAAGACTAACGAAATGATTAGGCAGAAAACTTCATGTCTGATACTATGTGTGTGGCTACTATCGATTTTGTCAATTCATGCTCAAATAGATCGCCAGTTATGTCCTAATGGTGCTATCACCATTCGTGATCCAAAATGGCCAAATATATCACCTAGTTTCGAACTTTTTGCTGAACTGACTAGCAAGGGTGGAACATCAGAAATAATACAAACACTTGGTAATCAACGAGACGCTATCATACAGACTTCAAATGGAGGTAATTATCATACATCGTGCTCGATACTCTAGACTCATAATTATTAGGGATGAAGCTTCGACGATGCTTGAAGGTAGTTGAATGACACCAAGCAGAGAAAAGAAAAACATCTTCAGAAAAGCTATGAATTCCTTCATATAGGCTGTTAGAAGAAAAAAAGAAATCTTAATTTTTACTTCAAAACTTTTTCTCAATAGTTAAATATTTGTTACACTTTTTCTACCATAGAGATCATCTTTGAATACTGGTATTTCGATACTAACGAACGACTCACCATTTTAAACGGCGACACCAATGAACAAAGTCAATCTGTTTGCCTTCGTCAAGAGATTGATCCTCTTACAGTCACTTCGACGATTGAATCAGCAGTTTTTGTCAAGCCTTCTGTTCTTCTCGGATACGATGCTCGAGATATGAACAATCCAAATTTTGGTGCAAAATTCATCGGACCATCTCAACTAAAGTTTATGCCTGTAAATATTTTTGAATCATGCTTTTATTTAAATGATTCGCGTGAAACGGTAGCTGTCACCTATTACATGAGTGATATTGAAAAATATCCGACTTTTGGTTATTTAAATGATAGCATTCCGTTGCGCATTGAAGTTCGAACAAAATCAGCCGCCAATGGCAACGAAGGAACCTATTTCTACAATATCTTTCGATTTCTATCCAATCTAACAGTAGAACGGGAACAGCATGCATTATCATTACCAGCAGGTGTCGTGTGTTCGAATCAAACCAACACGAAATCTATTCCTGGAAATTTTTCTGAGCACATCTCAATAAATGGAGAAGTTCTTTTGTCATTCGGAAACAAGCTGGCTGTCGAAAGTTTTGATACCATCTATGATCAATCGCTTCAATTCGCTCGATTTAAATCGTTGCTGAGTAACGGTGAACAGACAATTGAATTGCACGATTTTGCCACTGGCTTAGTGTATCATTATCTGACATCAACACGACAATGTCAAGTGTGGAAGATCAATTCTACTATTAGCGATGCAGCCCCAATACCAGGGCAATCACAGATTTTTCAAATGGCAAAGCCATTGCATTTATTTCTTTTGGATGATATGAACTTTCAATATGTAGGATCGAGAAAATGTCACAATCGAATGCTATGTCATGTGTGGATTGGGGAAAATTTACTTCCGGATCAATCGGAATTCGAACAGCGTGAATGGTACTGGGCTTATCAATTCAATGGCCAGAATATTGAACCATGGATACCTACTCGTTTAGTCAGCACACGTTTCGATGCACAGCATAAGCAGACATCACTTATGGAAACTAGTAAGTTTAATCTCTATTTTAATCTTCATAATAATTCTGGTATTTTATTTTTCGATTAGATCTATACAATTACCGTAGTGATCCATTTTCTCTAGTTGCAATTGATAATACAATTGCCGATTGCTATCGTGCTCTTGGACCTACAGGTAAATTTATATTGCCCTTCCAAGCAAAATATAAAATGAGGAAAATGAGAGTGATCGACTTCGACAAGATCTTCTTTTGATATTGTTCCTAATATGTGACTTAGTCTTCTCTAGTACAGATCTTGTCTGTATTTTATATATTGTATTGGGTGATTTTAGAAAAGTTCCATTATGGCATATTCACATTCGTTATCAATAATCAAGATGAGAAACCGGTGCAGAGCTATTCTCATTATCTTAAACTAATTATATGGGATACACTCGCTGACCACCTGAAAATTCGTCCCATTCGGTTGTCAAATGTAGTTATTGATCAAAACAAAACTGATTTAATTGTTACGTTCACCTTAGTGGATAATCCACCATTATATGGTCCTGTGGCAAATCCACTCCAGGAACCATCGCTAGATGCAGTAGTAAAAAATTTACGAACTTTAATCGACACAAATAATATCAGTTTTGTTGTCGTCTATGATAATACTGAAGGCGTTCGATTGTATCCTAAACCAGGTTCTTTAAATGTCATTGCACGTACTCCAACAATCATAATCATCAATAATATTACGGAGATTGTCTTCGAAATAGTCACTAATACGACAAAAGTGACTACACTGATTTCAAAAGAACGCAACCGTGGAAGCAAAATTACAGCACTCTGGATCGGCTTTACCATCTTGGGTCTATGCATTGGACTCGTAGGGACATTTTTTATTGTAAGAATCATCGTTACACGTCAGAAGTAGTGATATTCAACTTCATCAAACGTTATTATTTGATTCTTTTTTTTTAATTGTACAAGTATATTTTTGTGTGATGTATTAAAAAATTAGATACTCATTAACCAATGAATATTGGATGTGTCTATCGATGTTTGCAATAATATTGTCTAGCGAGTTTATTATGTTCTTGAAGATATGTCTTGCAAAAGCTATTGTTGTTCTCTGTATAAAGTATGCTTGAAACAGCAGTTTACAGTATTTAACAATAGACAAAAATGTTTATAATCATACTTATGAATGAATAAAAATAAACTTTTAGCATCAAATAGTGTCTAGTCTACTAAAGACAGATAAATATAATGCAGTTGTCATTCAATTGAACGAATGTTCATGGTTTAGTTCAAGAATGTTTTTTGTGTATATTTAACTTGAATAGGGTCGTCAAGAACACTTCATTAATTGGAAAACATATGCCATGATTTCATCACAGCACATGAGTAAGACAAATAAAAATGAAGCCCGTGAATATTCGATTCAAAAATGCTTTGCGTCTTATCTGTATCGATCTTATCTGTTGACAAAAAAAAACGACATACATCTGTTGTTCTGCTTAGCATACCTGTTAACATACAATCTCACTTTCATTTTATGTTGACATCATCATTAGACAAGATGTTCTCATCTGTGTGAACTTATTTCACTGCCACTAAACTATTCGTTTCAGAAACATGTTCATAATCAAGATATTTTCATTTTTACTGACATTAATCGTATGTGTCATTCAAGGGCAAGATACCGAATGGAATGGAGATAAGAACATATGTATACCTGATGTAACACCATCGTCCCCTAGTAAATCACTACCGACACTTCCAAGCCAAGCTCAGTTTATTATGGAAACTGTTTCTTCAGTGAGAATAAGTGATACTACCGGATATCCTACTGTGAATATCATTCAGTATTTCTATGATTATTATGCAAATATGATGATGCTTCAAAAGAATCAATTAGGTTTTGTTGAACACGAATATTACTATTACGATCAATTGAAAAAAATGACTTATTTTCCGCAGAAATATTGTGTAGTCACAGATATTCCGACGAAAATCGATAGCGGTAGGTGAACTTATAATACTGGTTTGTTTTTTCCTTTTTGAAGTTTTCTATTTAATGACTTTCGCTAGAAACTCTAATTTTAATAGTCAACAGAATATTGATAAGAATTGCTTTTAAATTTAGATAGTGGGTCGGCTGTTCAACTTTCTAATGGAACCTACCATATTCGGCAGTTGTCAGAATTGCTACAGTTCTTCAATCCGAGTATTCAGAAGCCACTCGTACCTAAATATATGGGTCCTGGTACTTTTCGTGATATAGATGTTGATCAGTGGGAACTGTGCATAGTCGACCAGACGACTAAACGAACAGAACATCGAGTTTGGTACTTCATTCAGCCAGAATTTCAAACGAGTGTTGGTACGATACCTAATATTTCTATTCCGTTAGGATACGCAATGAATACTTCGATTGTTCCAAACGATGGCTCACAAAACCTAGAATTCAATGAAATTACCAGTATATATTCTTTCAAGCCAACAATTATGGAAACGTCTGATTTCTTCGCGCCTCCTCGAGGTACTTTCTGTCCGAATTTGGTACCTGAACTCGTTAGTTTATCAGACTTAGGCATTGAATGGCCGTTACGATACACTATCCGAATCGATGCCACAACATCACGCGGTATTCGTGCAAATCCGTTACATTTAACTGTCGATAACAACCCGGACACTAAGCGAGCTCGCTTCGATTACCTGATTGATAATGAGAACAACTATGAAACAGTTGTAATCGACTATCGAGAACAAATCAAATATGTCATTGATAGAACACGCGGTTCGTGTCGAATAGTTCAAGGTGTCGGTTGGCCTGATGTTAATCCTGAATCAAAACCGATTGAATTCTTTCTCAAACTAAAAGAAACGATGCTCGATCAACCACCAATCAATGCTTGGCAATACAGAGGAGTTCGACGTAATTATTCATTATTCTTCTTTTGAGATGTTACGTGAAGGAGAAAAATACTAAAACTTTTTGCGACTTAAAACTTTCTTCTCTCTAAGTAATATTAATCATACAGTAGCTAGAGTAGATTGAATGAAGAAGAAAAAAAGAAAACAGAATGAGAATAGAAATATTAAAGCGTCAATTTGTTCTATCTATTTTTAGTTTGCCGTGGTTCAAAAATGCACTGTACAATCAATACTATGGTAATAAACGATTATCCAGCAATAGTCGATCCAGAAACAGGATTTTTCAATGGTCAAAATTGGAATGAGACACATATCGAGTATGAGTGGTCCAAACGTGATCCAGTCATGAATCTACCAGCAGGTGAGCAGAAGTCGTTTGATTATCCTGTATCACTTTTTCTTCGAACTCATCAAATTACTGAAACTTCCACCGGTACGAAATATCGTTTTGAAGAAGTCGAATACGAATTCTATGGCATGACAACGGATATATCTAATGATGCTTTTGATGTCAGTGATTGTTATCGTTCTCGTGATTGGCCTTATCTACATCTTGGATTTACACTTAACTTGAATAGAGGTAATTTGGTCGATAGTAATCATCTCGATCGTAAAGCATTGTATGACAGTTTTCTTATCACACTTCAAACAGCCATGAGACCAATTAGTGTCACCCGAATCCATCAATTAGAAATTGACCATGATGTTACTTCGACTTCTAATACAATATATGTTATGTTTATTTTGCTTGGACCTGTCCCTATAGCTGATCCAATATCAAACAATGAGACATCGAAGACGACAAAATCAACTGATCAATTCAGCGTCGAAACGGCTCGCGAAAAACTTCGAACTACAATCAATAATGGAGATTTCAATATTAATGTGCAGTTATTCGATGATGATCGGTCGAATATTACTTTCAGAGCAGTACCTGATTCACTTCAAAATGCTAGAGAATTTCTTGCATCCCATCCATTGATTTTCAATCTAGCAAATCACACAGTATCAGAAATCAATGTCATCAACATGACAAATACTATTGTACAAACTCTTGTTGTATTTGAACAGAAGATTAATTTGAAATGGTCGTCAAAAGCTCAAACAGTTGGTATTGTAGTTGGTCTTTTGATTGGACTCGTACTCGGTATTATTATCGTTGTGGCCGCGAAGTTTGTACGTAAACCATTATCTTCCTCCTCATCGACAATGATATCGATGGCGCCAATAACCAACCTAGCTTATGATAGAAGACAAGAAACGCTCATTACTGATTCAAATACATCGACTGCTTGAATAGATTATTCGTTTTAAGTGAACATTTTCGTTTCGAAAATTTTTTCTATGATGATCTACAATTATTTCAGTTTCAAAGCATTTGATAATACCATGAATAAATTTCGAATGGAAACATCGTTTTTGAGAAATATCTAATTATTTTTTATTTTGTTTTATTGTTTTTATTTTTACTGTAAAAATAAATCAAGAGATTATTCCTTAGTAGATTCATTATGTCATCATCAACAGCAACATAAGTCAGAAATATCATATGAAAAAATTCATCGATATCTAAAAGCCATTTAGAAAAAAATCAGAATCGGTGAAAGCCTGCACATTGCAATTTAATTTGAATTTTTGAAAAAGAAGCAAACAGAAGACTTATTGTTGGAACAATAATGACGCATCGAGATCCTTTTTTAATGATGCGCAGAAATTGTCGCAAAATCATCACCTAACACAACAATCTTTCTATAATTTCTTTCACTGTATGTTTTCATGTATTCTTTTCGGTTTTTCTGTTCCTCTGCCCTTTTGTGAAGAAGAAAATTGAAAAGTGATGGTTTAGAGTTAATCGATTTTATTACAGAAACTTCATTATAAGTAATACTTGCTCTTGTGTAAATGAAGTGCTGTTTCTTCTTTTTCTCCCTTTCTTGAAGATTAATTCTATTTTTTATTCTATGCACTGTAAGAACCAGAGACCGAAATCGAATCGAAATTGCCGAATAATTCGAATCGATTCGATTCGTCTGGGGCGAATCGAATCGATTCATTTTTTTCAATTTCATTCGACTATTCAAAATCATTTTCTTTGTTCTGGTGTTATGGTCGAGGGCAGTTGACTAGTATAAGAGATGACGCATGAAAAAGGACGTCCACTGTTTCTCTTTCTGTGTTTCTGTCAGTCGTGCTTATTTAATGGTCATCCTTGTTCTGTTCATTCGTTATCATGATCAAGTGCATTTTGATTGGCATAATAAATGTTCACTTACAACGAGCGTTCTATCTTTCTTTCTTTTTTCGTTAGTCAATTTAGGCCCCAATCACACTGAGAAGTAAATTAACATTATAGTTGAATTAAGCCATGCGACTGGTGCATTAAGAGTTAAGTAATACTTTAGAGGTGATTTTAACTCCTAATGTAACAACTAGATTACTGAATAAGACTTTAACTTTATTCACATTTCCAGTGCGATTGGGCTCTTGATATCAATCTCTTTATTTATTAAGTATGGCTACGGTCAACTGTAAATATAGATCCATATACGGTAAATGATATTATTTTTCTTCGTTCCATAGAAAATAAACTTATTTAATTAGTCTACTTAGATGTGTTCATTAATTTGTATTTTATGTGTTCTTGCTTGAAAAAAATGAATAATTCTTATGTATATCTTCATAAATTATATTTTTCAACATATTTCTATAGAAGATCGACAGACTATTCTCATTCTAAGACGATGACAGTCTGGAAACAACAATACTATGTAATAGTGAATACCATATTTTGTAAACCCAATTTGAGTCGAATCTAATCGAATCGAATTGATTTTTTTCGTGTTTTTAGCCGAATCGAATCGAACTACAATTTTAAAAAGACCAGAAAACCAGAATCGAATCGAATGGCACTTTTGTCATCGGTTTCGGTCTCTGGTAAGAACTGAACAGTTGAGCGTCAATTTGATAATTTAAAGTTCCATGCGTTTTTGCAGCGCGCGTAGCAAAAGAAAACAATAAAAAAACAGACTGACATGCATATATGTGTATACCTTTTTTTCGTTATGTGAATAATCATATGGAACTTCCCGCAAAAGAACGCGTGTAAAAAATAATATAGATTATTTTGTAAATATATAAATAATTACCCACGGAAAAAAAATTGCGAAAAACCGCGGTTTGATCGAAGACAACCGCGGTATTATCTTGATACCACTTAAAACCGCGGCTGTGAATACAGCGGTTAGCAACGGTTTTTCAAACCGCAGTACACTGGATCATAACCGTGGTGATTTTTCATTTAGTTGTAATAAAATCTTTATACGTTTGAAGTACATCTGTTAATAATCATTTTCCTTATAGAAATGTCTGAGATTGACCGGTAAAATATACTACTGCTTTTATTGTATTTTACTCTTTTTTGTTGAGGGTTGACTTAAGCAAAATTCCAGAAAAAAGTACTACTTCTTTAATAAATTTAAAAAAACAGAAGACTGATAATGCAGACTGTTTCAAGAGAATTCACATAATAGAAAGCTTATTTTATATTATGAGCAAGCTACAAAAATTTTGGCAAAAGTTGTTTGGGGTTCTTTCATGTAAGAAAAGCGTGACTCTCTATAAAACGGGTAAACGCGGTTCTAAAAGCCGCGTTTGTCACATACAACGCCACGCTTCAGAAAACCGCGGTTTGCGTGTGAGGAACTCTGGTGCATACCAAAGTGTCAAGAAATGTGTAAGGACATTCAAGATGTCGTGCCCCTCAAATTCTGGCAAATTTTCACTTATGTCACATACATAATATAACGACTCTACAAAGACATTTTGTGGAAATCAAGCTCGGGAGAGTTCACTGCACTGCCCCTCGAAGGGCGCCACATCTGAAACCTTCAAGGTACAGGTTATGGTCGGTGCAGTTGCTCCTGTTGAGTCTAGTGTATCGGAAAAACCGCGCTTTCTGGATATAACAGTAGTCAGATCATTTATGCGTTTCAAGAAAAACACCCAAAACCGCGAAAATCAGACCATTTATGCGTATCTGTAAAAGCGCGCAGAGCCGGCGTTTCTTACAACACAGTTTACAACGGTTTTCACAACCGCGATATGCGATGGTTTTCAAAATTGCGGATCTGGGGGGTGTTAGAGATACGCATAAATAGTCTGACTTTCGCTATTCGAAAAGTCCGGCTGCAACCGCGGTTTTTTGAAAAAATTTTCTCCGTGGATAATCAGTGATTAATTATCGAATCACTCACGTACCTAATCTTTTTTTAATCAGTTAATAATAAAAGAGTTCTTGCAATAATCAGATTCGCTACGATTATTTATTATTTTTACTCTCAGAAAATTTAATAATACAAAAAACATTCTGTAAATATGTTGCTGCTGCGTCTATAGAAAAAATAAAACAAAATCAAATATTATTGATATATATATTTACATAATAAGTGGGTGTATACGACGCACATGTATGGATGAATCCGTGGAGACCCATCCACTTTTTGGGAAAGTTTTTCTTTTCGATTTGTTTCAGGCGAAACTTCCGGTATGCTGTAGAAAATACTTTTGATGAAAAAAATATGACTCTGCTAGCGGAAAATATCGAGTTCTGGTTGACTTTTTCGGAACGACTATGGTATATTGTCAGACAAAGGGAAAACGTCAGGAAAACACCTGAAACGTTTCTAAAATATCTTTTTCAGAATTTTTTCATGCTGAAAAAGATGAAAGCTGCTTAGAAACACTTTAAATGGAAAAACAATTAGACCATTCCTATTGAAAGTCTTGAGTTCTGAGTCATTTCTTCTGAAAACAACGGTAACCCATGTCACTTAAACCGTCAGAAAATCGTCGGTTAACTGCGGTTTTCCAGCTAAAATTTTTCGCATATCAGAGTGTGTGAATATTTTAAATTCTTAAAAAACTGTAAAAATTATAGTGAAATCGTCGCCCCTTATATATGAAAACACGGTGAATCCGCCAGTACCAGCCACATCTGCTATATTTCTCTGGTTTTCGAGTTTGGGCCTATTTTAAAGATGGCGCTATAAAAATAGTTCCCTCTACTCGAAGGAGGGTATTACAAAAAACGAGTTAAATGTGTTCGTTCGTTCGTCCAATAGGAAAGCAGATGCATAAACTTAACAGACCGCACACAATATCTGTAGCGATAGATTTTATCGACGGTAATTGACGTCGGGGAACACGATGGCGCTGTTAGTTTTTTGAGATTTTCCTTTTTCCTTCTTTTGAGGAGAGAGAGACTTTTTTGGAAAAAAATAGCTTCTTATACGAGTCGATCGAAGGTAATCGGGAGCGGGGAACTCTAATATGGTGTCAGATTTTCAGAATTTATGATCCTCAACTTTTTTAGTGAAAAAAATAGTTTTTCG